ATAATTAAACTTGAAAAAAAACCCACTTTATAATCTTAAAGTTAGAGAAAATGGTTACCTCTTTAAAGAGAGGGTAGTAAGTATCCTCTGTATTTTCTACGTCCCAGAAACGAGGATTGTACCCTCCCAGCACGTACATGTTCTTCTCGTCGACAGCCACGCGGTGACCACTTCGGGGGTACAGGAAGTCATAGTCTGTACACAAATAAAACACAATCATCCTAAAAGACATTTTTTTTTTGCAATTTTATTATCGTTTCTTCTTTCAGTGACAAAAACCTTCAAAAGAATAAACAGAAACCCTAACTAGTTAGGACCTGGACAGATAAACATTGAGCAGGCTATTGCTAGTTGTTGCTTTTACCATAACATCAGTTCAAGATTTTGACACGTAAATATCAAGGCCCCTTTCGCATATCCGGTTGAACCGGTTTGTCTGGTTTTAAATGTAACATTTATGGGTATAAATCCTGACAGACCTACACAGGTTTATGCAGGCCTTGCAAGGCTGTGTTAAGGCTCAACTGAAAGCAGCATCCAAACTTATTTCATAAACAAACAACTTTGGACCAACTGGTTCAACTGTTTGGGTCGCAATAAATAAATGCGACCACAGTAACATGGTAAGTTTCTACCACAGATCCCAGCCTGATCAGCTAAGTTGATATTGATCCAACCAAACTAATTGGCTTTATTTAATTTTATTTACCAAACTATTACCATTTTGATAAGTAACCTGGAAAATGTTTGCATCATCTGCTTTTGGTTTTAAACTTTATCCAGACGTTGCTGCAATATTAAAGATGGCACATTGTTAGCCTACAAGACATCTAATTATAAGTAACTCAAATTTAGTGTCTATCCAGGTGGTGCTTGGTCAGCTTTATATGATAGATAGCTTCATCTTATCTGAAACCTCAATTGTAACTTTGAACAAGAGGATAACAAGTGATTGGTTACGTCCGACTGATCACCTGATTCAGCTAGAGTAACTTGCTTCACACATGGTCTAATTGACAATAGGTATAAGATGGTTGACTGGCACAGTAACGCACCCTCCTTTCACCAAGTCAGTCGGGGGGCCAACAAGAGGGAATAATATAAGTGGAAATTACTTGTTTCGTAATTGTTGTAGAAGTCTGAATAAATTTAAAATTAGGCAGTGCCTGTCTGCCTGAAGCCTAATTATAGTAGCCTGATCTGGCACTTACAAACTTTACATGTACTAGTGCTACATTTAAGTTTGTCCAACAACGTGACCAGACAGTGTCTAATTAATGAAGTTATGAAATATGAAGTAATAACAAAAGATTGTACAGTACCAAGATTGTGAGTTTATATATGCATATATGGAAAAATGTATAGCCTCAGATTATGAAACTCCTGCTCAGATGGTGATTGTGAGAGTTGGCAGGATTGGAGTGAGTGAGTGTTGACTACTTTTAAAACAGTATCTATGTAAAATGCAATGAAGAACAGTATTATACATATTATTACATTTTTCTCCCCCTGCTTCACATAGCATAAGATCATTGTTATAATTAATTCCTGTAGGAACTCTATCTAAATCAGAGATTTATAACGATAGAAACTCTATTGTTACAAATCTCTGATTTAGATAAAGTTCCTACAGGAATTACCTTAGCTTATAACTAAATAAAACAGTATAAATATACATGCTGAACCAGATTTTTTACTAGCAGGAGTTAAGAACACGAATTAGTAACATACATATATACTGCATAAAACTCGATTTGCGCTCATAACATTATGAATGTTGAAAAATGGGTTTAATCCTTATACGATAGAGTGTCCACTAATTAGGTTTCAACTACTGTAGTTATTTGATATTTTTTTCCCGTTTATTTAAAATTTGGTAACATTTCTTTTCCATATAATCATGTTATAAACGGTGGATGAATATAAACTTTCTCTGCATCATTTTTTTTCAAATAAGTGTTAGAGATACGGATGTCAATAACTGGGGTGACGCCTGGCTATTTATGGTAATGTTGACATCTCGGATCAGCTGGGTCGTTCTCAATCCCCCAGGCAAGGGCAAATTTCCGACACGAAATAAACTTATAATTGTCGTCTAGAAAATGCATCCAGTGGAGAAATAGACACTTAATAATGCATTCTTACCAACATTGTGTTCGACCAAATTTTCAGACGACTCGTCGTCATATTGCGTTGGTCCAAATCTTTGGAAAGCCAACAAGTTTCCTGCCATTATTTTGGTTTCATTCCAAGCGTCTACTTTGACAGCAACAGTCGAAACGTTTTCTGGACTCGGATTCAGTGGTCCTTGCGAAACTCGTCACGATTGGTTAATGTTGAAAATATGAGCCAATGAACGAAAGCGTAACAGTAATACCTTCGGCTGTGTTCACAAAATGGCTACTCCTGAAAAAGTCACACCAGAACGTGTCAAGAGACTTTTGTCATCATTTTTAGTCCCAGAGACTCTCGACTTTGAATATGAAAGGTATTAATAATCAATGAAATCATTGACGTTAACACGTATGTGAACATATAGCAGAATTTTGCCAATTTTACAGCGAAATTCTGTTGTGCTTTCACTTTCAGTTTTGAAATAACGTCACGCTACCACAATTTGTACAATTTTGACTTCAGTGATATTTAAAAAATCAGATCTTGTATCTGGATTGTTTCTTGATTCTCTACAAAGACTACCTATGGTGGTTCATTTTCAGAAAAAGTTTTAATTCTAAGTAATTTGTTTTTGAAAATAGAACGCTAAACTCGCAGTAATATTTTGTCCGTTTTTCGGACGTGATTAGTGCCAAAATTGGTTCACATATCTTTGGAACTTGCTATTATTTCTACTGGTTAATGTTCCGATTGTTACAAAATATATCGCTTTTATAAATACCATTCTGAACTACAATTGTATATAAAGGACCGAAGCAACTCTAAAACTTACCGGTAATCGTGATGCAGTCTAGTTCTTATCCTGAAATAAACTCTAAAACTTACCGGTAATCGTGATGCAGTCTAGTTCTTATGCTTACTCAGTCAAACAGTCTTTGGCTGCATCAGTCTGACGCGTCTCGCCCAGCACGTGCCCAAATATTGCAGTCTCTCATTCCAAGGTTTCACACCACCATTACTCACACACAATGGGGACCTCGGACCAACAATCACAACATATATATACACTTTTATATTATCTGGTTATAAACATTTAAACATGCTTATCTTTAAGCCCTTCGAAATTCTGCAAAATTTCGTCGACGTACATTGCTTTTACTGGTTTTCTGATACTTTGAAGTCAATGTTTACTCTTAAAATGTTCATGCAAACAAAACTTTTCGATGGAAATGCTGATAAATATCTCTTTTGTTATACTGTAAAAGGAAAATGATCAAATTTAATTTTTAAGTACTATTTGAACCATTTTCTGACTGTGTACCTATTTGGGTAGTGTACCAATTGTGGTAGCGTGACGTTACTGATTACACTGAGTCTGACATTTCATCAGTATAACTATAACAATCTGTATATGAAGAAGTACCCCCTTATACTTTAGTATCAAGTTTTTTCAGTGTTTTTTTTTTGTAGCGTAAGGGGTATTTTCCATAAATAGATTGTTATAGTTATTCATAAAACATCACAGTCAGATTCCTGTGTACTAAGCCTAATATAGAAAGTATTTTAATTCAGTATTTCAGGTATTCATGGACTTTCATGTCTGCATGGTAAACATTTCAGAAAAAATATCTATTTGTGCACACTCACAGCCTTCAACATTTTGTGTTGATATACTTCTTTGGATTTAACCATAAACTAATATATTTCCATTTGCTCTGCATTGTCACTATATAACCTTACCAAACAAAATAGAAAGATATCAGATCATAATTCTGACATAATTCCCATTGGTGTAGTGGTATGAAAAACATGTTTGTGACTTAATGACGTCGTTTTTACCGACGTCACTGTATTAAGTGTATTATTGACTTCACGAAAAAATTGTTGGCAAATTTTGCATTAACAATTCCTGACCTCTTAAACAACGAAGAAGAGTCTGATGAGGGAGATATCAACAGTACCAATATGCGCATTATTTATTATTCAATTTGTTTGCATTGAATCCTGTGAGAATTATAGGACAATAACTTTCCAAAGAAGGCAGTTGAATGCTTAAATAATTCATCTGCTGAATTTTCAATGAATGAAGAAAATGATAGTTTGGTGATATGTTTGTCCTCCTGGTAAAATACTAGCGGCTTTTTACCAACTTTCTTAGGGAGATTTTCTCTTAAGCTCATTCATAAGAGTTTAAGACTAGTAAGCCAGATATATAAGGCGACTCCTAGCGGACAAATTGAAAACTTGTGACTTCTGTTACACAATTTTGGATTGGCGACCCTTTGGGCCCCTAATCTATAGGTGTCATGCTTTCACACCAAATAAACACCTATATTTTCTTGTCGTTGATTTATTCATCCGCAAAAAATCCAACAAAATGTTCAAAGTGGGTTTTCAAAAATTCGTGAATAGCTGTTTGCAAAGTACCAAATTAAAATATTCTTTTTGACGTTAATACAACAGCACCAATACAGCTATTCATGTTTATAATCGGCGTAACTGGAGTTCAAAATAAAGGCCTATATTTCTAAGTGGGTTGCTCGCTGCAGATGAATACAAATTTTCTTTTTTCGCCGGAACCATTTGTTGTCTCTTTAGGTCATGTTGTAGCTTAATATTTCTCAGACATAGGCTCACAATGTCGGTAACAAAAGTAGCCATTGGTTATTTCAGTTTTTTACTGAGTCCGTACGTACTAACTTAAAAAAATAGAAGACAATCTGCAAAAAAGTCCCAGAAAAACAGTCTGTCAACTTTTGTGTATTATGGCCGACACCAATGGGGTACATGATCAGGCTAAAGCTGACACAGTTCAGTGTGCGCTGTACAACTGCAAGCTATTGTGTTTGTCAAGTTGTCAAGGCAAACTAGACGACCGTAGATGCTTTAATTGATGTAAATGGGCCGATGTATGTAATGTTGCAGCTGTTTTTAGAATTGGGGAAACTACTTCTGTTTTGCCCTCCAATTTGTCTTTCAGATAAGGTAATACCAGCAGTTGCTTAATGGTGTCGTATGGTAGCATGGGCGTTCTGGTGGATGTTTGTGCAACACTCTTGAAAGTGCTTCAGACCCCCCCTTTTATGTATGGAATAGTGACCATGCCATTGGTTTTTCTCTCTGTGTTTGTACTTCTTTGTTGGTTGGGGCCATTAGCATTGCTTTCATTTTCTATTTGTTTCTGTACTTTACTTATAGACCATTCAGGGTATCCACATGATGTCAGGGCCTGTCTGATATGTCGCTTTTCGATTTCCATGACTTCCTGTTGAGTTACAATGTTCATGCGTCTCTCCAGGAGAGTGTAAACTACACCCCCAACTTCTGATGCAATAAATGGTGTGAATAGAATTTGAGGTACTAGTCTACGAGTGTTTTTCCTGTTTACCAGCTATTTGATGGAACCGCCAGCTCTTCTTACGATAGCGTTTTTTCCTGCCTGTGTCTTCTTCTGATGTGTATTTTATGGAACCTGTATCATCTGCCTGGTTATTTTTCTGTATAAACGAATAGTTAACAATCTTTTGCCATTCTTTAATGATTAAATCAGAAAGAGCAAATGACATTATCTTGTACATAGTATAGTAAAGTTACAGTAAGTAATATTACTGTCGTGAATTCGGTGTGTGTTTGTTACACACCGTCACAACAAGTAGTTGTAACTGCTCTTAGCTCCTGAAATCAAGTACAAGGTGGAGGAAAATCACACACCCGTTGTCTGTTGGATATCTAGATGTAAAGAGACCGCGCCAATACATCCCAGTGAAGCTAGTGTCGCGTAGCTCGACGAGATCTCGTGTCGTCACTGTCCAAGGGAGATAACTCTCCCGAAATTCACCACATTACCAAGAAAGGAACAAAACTAACTTGGAATTGAACCCTAAATACTTAAATCAATGTAGATGTCTGTAAACTAGTACTCTTCCAACTGAAAAATCTGTCCATCGATGAGTTCGGACAACATCTCCTGCACTTTACCAATGTTGAAATCTTGAGTTTAAGCCAAAGTCAACAAACACTTGGGGCTGAAGATGTTTTTTTTTTTTTTGGAATATTTGCTTGTTCTAGTTCTGTGCAGTAGAATTTATTAGATATAGATAAGCATAGAAAAGAAAATTCGGTTTAAAAAAAGCGGTATTTAACTAAAAATTTGTACTTTGTTTTTAGAAACCCTGCGACTCCTGCAAAAAATGAATGTGACAAAGAATCTCATAACAAAAGTAATGGACAACAGCAGACATCTACAAACAAAGAAGATGCGTCTCCGGCACAGAAAGGTCCACATCCACGGAGCAGGGAAGCTTATTTCCAAAGAGTCCACACCTTCACTGTATCCTTGAACACACATCCAATGTCAGGAGAGTTTTGTGAAAGAAAAATATGATGACAGTGCTTTTCTGCATCACTGTAGTTGGTCAGGATTTGTAGCATTTAACATTTAAAGGTTAATCAATCAGCTGTACATGTCAGGATATAAAATTACACGTGTTTATATATTCATGAAATGCTGTGAATATGAATACTTGTATAATATCGGTAATTAATTAAGAAATGACTTGTATGATTTTAGTCTATTGAGAAACATGCATAAACTAACAGCTTGGTGTCAAATTGCACATCTTTTTTTTTGGTCAATATCTCCATAGTCAAAAGTTATTTTGCCTCTTCCTCAACCAATGTCCAACAGCAAGGGGCTCAAGGGGTTAACAGGTATATTCACACCTTTGTCGTCTAAGGTGGACCTAGCAGGCCTAGAAACTGATTTTGAAATCCACTAGTCCATTAGGGAAGGAGTTTCCAATGGTGCAAATTCCATTAACCCCATATTGTTCAACATGATAAGCAATATCAAATTTTGACTAGTCAATCCGGCTAGCAGATTTTAGAACCACTTGTCCTGCAGCAGGAGATTTCACTAGTCTCAGACTATCGGGCTACCCATATTGTCTACCCCTGACCTAGTCTAGCCCCCATATCTTTTTAATTCTGACCAGATTTGTCCATCTTAGAGTGTAATTGTTGTTTGAGTGGTTTTATATATATTTGCTTCACTGTGGGAAGCAGATGTAGAAGACGGACCATTGCTTCCTAACACGGACAACTCTAGTCAGAATTATAAGATAGCAGGATCACACCGAGTCCTTTGCCTTCATAGGGGTCAAAGGGTAAATATTTGGGTCAGAGGGACAGTCCCTCTCAAACAGGGATAATTGACATGTATTGTAATGAGTCACCACCATTGCTTTTAATTGACAGGATTATATTATTAAAGTTTGTTTTCTTCAACCCTTTATCAGACTTTTAATTGGTTTGCTAAACCAGTAGATTTATCTCCCCTTGTGTGTGCACGGTATGGTTGGCAGGTGATCGAGACTGACATGCTAGGATGTGTGGGTTGTAAAGCCAAACTAAGTGGACAGCTCCCAAAAACAAGAGACCAACAAATATGTAAGTAGGAAAAGCTTTTTATTTAGCAAGGGTGGTGGAAGATGTAAATAAAACACTTTTGAAAATAAAATCTTTTGAAAAGAAGTTTCAGAAAAGAAAAAAAATCACATACACATACAGTACGTATACCAATATCAAACCTTACAAAATTAAAAAAAAGTTTCAAAACTTGCATTGGCAAATTGTCACAAAGAGATAAAATGTCAAGTATGGCAAAAATACTTTTAATATGTGTGAATTCGAAAATGACATGCAGTACCTATATATATTTTGATTTTTTTGTATACTGGGACATTTTCGCCACAGTTTAACTTTTGCCTTTTTCACCCTTCCCAATGGGCGCATATTTATCATTGCAGCTAATATTAGCAACCAATGTATAGTAATTACATGTGAAGGGTGACATTAACACTATAAGTGAACATGGAGTTTATCGGCTAAAGGCAAATATCTGCTAGGGCAAAAGTTTCCCGGCATACAGTATGTTCTCAAAGTTCCTGTGACATCCCTGAAAACAGAAAATTTGTTGTCATGAGATTTTAATGTTAGAATACATAGAATATAAGCTTTGATGATTTGTATATGTTGTTTTATCAAAAAGTATACCAAATATGCAGAAAAAAATGGCATCATATGACACAGATATTTTTATGTCAAATTAGCAAAGTTCATTAAAAAATCACTCAGTCCAGAACATGTACCACGTAGATTCTATGAATTGCAGATGTCATTTTGCTGTATGAACCTAACCTAGTAGTTTAAGTATGTAATTTATTACGCTTAATCTTCCAGCATTGCTACTGTATTGTAATGTGGGGTACAGAATCATTGGCTAATCATGTGATGTCAATGTCTTGATGTATCATAACATATGTTGCATTTGTATACTGGGAAATGTTTGCTTCAATTAATTTAGCCTTTTTGCCCACTGTAACGAGGGTGATTTTATCATTGCAGCGAACATTTGTTAACATTATAATGTACATAGTAATTAAATGTGAAGGGCCAATTTAATATTGGTGAAAATAGATTTTTAGGCGAAAAGTGGAGATTTCCAGGTATGCAGTAGTATAATGTACATGGTATCATTTTTCAACGTTCAGATCCAGATTGCTGCAAGAAACTAAAGCATGGTCTGACTTGGTCACACAAGAAATCCTGTTCGTGGTCATCAAATCCTAGTCCAGGTTTGTAACTTAACACAAGGTCACTCCAAAAGCTCTAAATCCTAGTCCAGGTTTGTAACTCAACACAAGGTCATTCCAAAATCTCCAAATCCTAGTCCAGGTTGTACCTCCAAACAAGGTCATTCCAAAATCTCTAAATCCTAGTCCAGGTTTGTATCTCAACACAAGGTCACTCTAAAATCTCTAAAACCTAGTCCAGATTTGTACCTCAACACAAGGTCACTCTAAAATCTCTAAATCATAGTCCAGATTTGTACCTCAACACAAGGTCACTCTAAAATCTCTAAATCCTAGTCCCGGTTTGTACCCAACACAATGTCTAAATAATAAGACAAAACAAAAGAATAAAGCAAAGGTATCCTGAATCAAACAAATGTAATGTGTAGTTATTTTAGACCAAACAAATATATTGTGTAGTATATTGAGGCCAAACAAATTAAATGTTTATTATCTTGAGGCAAAACAAATATGATGTGTAGTATAATAAGGCAAAATAAAAAAAAAAAATCAAGGGTAAGATATCCTTAACCACACCAAACCAAACAAATATAATAACAAATTAAAGCTTAGTATCTTGAGGCCAAACAAATTTAATGTTAAGTATCTTGAGGCCAAACAAATTTAATTTTTATTATCTTGAGGCCAAACAAATATGATGTGTAGTATCTTGAGGCCAAACAAATTTAAAGTTAAGTATCTTGAGGCCAAACAAATTTAATTTTTATTATCTAGAGGCCAAACAAACTTAAAGTTAAGTATCTTGAGGCCAAACAAATTTAATTTTTATTATCTTGAGGCCAAACAAATATGATGTGTAGTATCTTGAGGCCAAACAACTATGATGTGTAGTATAATAAGGCAAAACAAAAATTAAAAGCAAAGGATAAGGTATCTGTAACCACACTAAACCAAACAAAAAAGTGCAACATCATCAGGACAAAAAATCAGGTCGTAACCTAAGGCCAAGCAAAATTAATGTATAGTATCGTAAGGCTAAACAAAATAGATTGTACAAGAAGTTGAATACAAAGGCCAAACAAAATTAATTTAACAAGAAATTGAATACAAAGGTAAAACAAATTAATGTATAGTATCCGAAGAGCAATATGAAAGAAAAGGAATACAAAGGCCAGCAAAAACCATTTGTAATATCTTAAAGCCAACAAAATATGAAATACTAATGTATAAAGTATCCTAAAGCAAAATGAATCTGATATATTGAGGCCAAACAGATATGAAGTGTTAGATAAATTTTTGTTAGGCCAAGAAAAATATTTATGCCTGATTCTTATGTTTCCAGTAATTTTAGGGTAGGCATCAAAATCTAAGTAGTCTTCCTGGAAACATAGATATTTAGATATCAGTGTAAGGATTTCTGATACAAGATGCTGTTGTTCTGTTATAATGCGCTTTTTATGTTCTTTATACGGACATTTTTTATGATCAGAGAATGATTACCAGTGATATTTTCAGTGGCATGATTTGATGCCTAGGCAATATTTTAACGGCCGGTAAAGGAAAGGTCACATGTTGTGACAAGTGGGGCATTGTTGATATTTTCCTGTCATGTGCTCCCTCCACCCTGGGTTCATACTAACAATCCCCCTAAATCCTTGTAGAAAGTATCGACATTCTAAGGGATGTATTTGACGACATGAATGTTTCCATCCCTCTGTGTGACCCACATCCAGTTTAAGCCATCAATACCAACAGCAGTCGGATGTGTCAGTCCATTTTCTTCTCTCATCAAGAACTTGTGGAATTTCCCCTCAGGGGTGAGCTGGTGTATGGCATGGTTCCAGTAGTCGGATACGATGAGATGGTCATTCTGGTCCTTACATAGCCCTTTTGGATGAAATGTGAGTTCTGGGTTTGATCCTATACATCCCTTATATGTTTTGCTTATATCTTTGAAGTTCATGATAGTTCCTGGTTCACATGAACTCTCTGGAATTCCTGGTTCACATGAACTCTCTGGAATATCTTTGGGTGTGGTCTGAATGTAGACATCTGATGCTGTTTGAACACTTTCTGGAAACTGGTTTTTAAAGAGAAAGTGGTTTTGTTCGAAAGTTTGAGAGAATATTACCTTTTCTCTAATTCCATGTTTGTTGTACTGCATCATCTTTAGTGTTACATTCCTGGGTGTTTGCCGGTTGTCAACAAATTTTTTTTCTGTGATTGAAATAACCATACCAGTGTCAGAAATTCGTATGGTTTGCCAGGATTCATCAGAGGCCTCAGGTTTTAAGTCAGCAAAGCGGTATATTAGACCTGCTTCTGTAACCCGATTGACCACAGTGCGATCTTTCTGCTGTACATAGATGCCCTGTTTTGTGACCGGAGTGATGTACACTACCCCCTTCATCAATGGTACCAGGTCTTCCTGCTTGTACTTGGCTTTAGTCAAGTCCACTAAGTACAGCAGCTCTTCTGTGACCACAAAAGCTCTTTTCTCGTCCAAGGGAGAAATGCAATCTACTTTTGATTCACAGAATTTTATTTTTTTTGATATCTTGCCCGGATTGTCCACAGGAATGATTCCATTAATCTGTCCAAACCAGATATCCATCTTTTCTGTATTTCCCTCTCCTTTTGTGAAAATTAATTCTTTCTCTCCTTCAGAAGCCTCAGACTTGTCCTTGGCTTGTGCTCCTGTGTTGTTTTGGAGGAGCTCCAAAGCCTGTATCAGTTTTATCCCATCAATTGTTTCACCATAGTTTGGATTTTGTTTGAAAAGTTTCAGATTTGCTTGACATGTGTCTGATTCTGCCTGAAGGCCATCAAGCCTCTGAAGGCGTTTTCTCTTATGTTCTCTTACCATCGATTGCAAATTTATACCCCAAGCTTCCGCTTCTTGTAACATTACAGCTTTCCTATCATCAATTTCTGCAGAAACAATTTTGCAGTTGTCCGAGACATTTTCTCGCTGTTTGGTGATGATTTTGATATTCTGTTGTAAGCTTTCTGTCATGCTTTCCTTTGCATCTCTGATCCGATCATCCAGTTTTCGCTTCTTTGTAATAACAACATCATCAATTTTGCAGAACTTGTGGTTGCCATGGTTTCCATCTATGAAACAGGATGTACATACCAGTCTGTCACATGATTTACAGAAAAGGGAGATTTCTGTTTCCTTGTGAACGAGACAGAATGTCGGTTTGGTCTTTAAATTATCCAGAACAGTTTTCAGTTCTTCCTCAGATATCAAGTGTACGGTTTGCTGATCGTCAGATTCTGCTCCCCCTTGATTCTGACTTATCATGTTTTCTGTTGCTTCAGGGTCTGTTTTCTGATGTTCGTCCTTCTTCAGTCCCACTTCCTGTTCTCTTTCTTCCATCATGACAACTTCCTGTCAGGTGTCGTGGCGACGTGGCAATTGATCAGTGTAGATAGACTGATGAGGCAGGTCTTAATTAACTGGTTTCAACCTGAAATACAGAATCAGCTTATGATTATGTGGCCATTATAAAGAGTTGAAGATATACATAGTATGTGTATAACCATCTTTCACATTCACCGGGGCTGGCAGTGCCTTGCTTTACCGCTGAAATTTAGCAAAAAAGTGCTTAATTTTCCCAAAATGAAGAATAAATGAGGATTATCTTTCCATTTCATAATTTTATCACTGAATTTTCCCAATTCATGTAGGCCCATGCTGCTGTAAAAATGAAGGTAGGAAAATGTACCAGGGGTCAAATGTGTTTAACTTGGATAAAAAATGTTAAAATGTTCTAACAACTTCTGAATAACTCAAACTGTTTTCTTATTTCCTGATGGGTAGGTGGTTGGCACGGTGGATAGTGCACCCCCCTTTCATTAAGGTGGCCAGGGTTCCATTCCTCAACCGTGCATGAAAACGTGGGGGCGGGGGGGCACTTGCCCGACCACAGTGTCTTTCTCGGGTACTCTGATTTCCTCCCACATTAAGACCCCCCCCCCCCACGCAGGCTAACATCCAGGTCAACAAGAGTGATTGATATATAAATACAAAGGATATATAAGATTGAGCATCAACATCTAGATTCTGTGTTTTATTAACGGCTTACATGTTTCAGCTAGCTAGGCTAGCCATCATCAGAACACATATATGTTGTAAAGTGGATAAAGTTTACATTTACAAGGATCATCAGAAGGAATGCAGTCGGAGTCCCAGATCAATATGTTGGCAATCTCAGACCTTGCAACGTTATAAAATAATGTTATAAACTTGGATAATTCCAAAGTGTTGGACAGAGTCTTCACTCTACACTCAGATTAGTTTGCCTAACTTATGACATTAAATTAATTCTAAAGAGAAATTACTTCATGAGACATTTCAAAAGATACAATATTTTGGGAGGGAAAAGGTCTGTAATGGGATGTTGCTCTATGTAAGAATAACAACAGTGGAATTATATAGTGTTTCGCCTGCAGTGGTCGCAATAAACAATGTCTTCCCTTTGAAAGAAAACACTCAAACACAGCTGTTACTATTGCATTTACTATTGACAAGACTATAAATCCAACAGATAAGAGAAAATAAGAGAAAGGATCAAACTTACATGGAACTTGTGAAGTTCTTATAATGGTGGACACAAAGATCCCTCTATGATCTTTTGTTAACAGAAATATTACTTCCTTTACCACCATTGATTTGAGAGTAACTCGTTGAAAACAGATCTGTAATCTAGCCTTTTCTGTGTAAACACAAGAGCTTGAAAGAAAACAAATTACCACTGTGTAGGAGTGTATGTACACATGGTATGTTACTCTGAAATGTTGTTTTATACAAACCCAGCACTGTTTCAAAATTAGCTAATCTTGTGTCCTATGCAGAATACCGGTACAGATATAGACAGGTCCTGGCTGTGTAAACTTCCTGGCTGTAACCTTAACGACTGCCAGAGCATGCCCAGTGTAATATTTGTGTTTCCTAAAATTCGCTTCTACTTTCACTTTCACATTCTCTAGAAAAGGTTTCACTTTCACTTTCATTTCTATGGCTGGGTGCATATCAAGTTTGGTTTTGAACATGAAATTCCTTTAGTAACTTGGTATCAAACCACAATGACATTTATGAGATTTCATAACAGTAGATTTTTCGCCCACCATCTGATACAAATCACCTGTGGCCCGTGATCTGTGGTCCGTCCATAAACAATTCTTCATATCGCTATTTCTCAGAAAGTACCAGAGGGATATTTCTCAAATTTCATAGTTAGGTCTCCCCCCCGCCCCGGTCCCTAGTTGTGCTTATTTATTTTTGAGACTGATGGGATAAACAAAATGGCCGACAAGCGGCCATCTTTAATTTTAACAGTGAAGGTTTGTTCTCGCTATTTCTCAGAAAGCACATGAAGGATCTTTTTCAAATTTGATATGTAAGTTCCCCTCGCTCCCTTGTTGTGCATGTTTACTTTTGCGACTAATCGGATAAACAAAATGCCTGACAGGTGGCCATCTTGGATTTTGACAGTGAAGGTTTGTTATCACTATTTCTTTGAAAGGAAATGGAGGATCTTTCTCAAATTATATATGAAGGTTCCCCTTAATCCTTAGTTTTGCGTCATGTGTCATATTGAGATTTATCTTAAAAACAACATGGCTGTTTCTCAAAAAGCGTTTGACAGATATTTCTCAAATTTCATTAATTATGAAGGTTCCCCTAGGTTCATAATCATGCATGTATTATTTTAAAGCTGATTGAAAAGAAAAAAAAGACGGTTGCAGCAGTTATCTTGGATTTGGACATTTCAAGAATATTATCACTATTTCCAAGTACAATGATCAGTTCTATTTCTTTCACATTGAATTACTGTACAAGTAAATATGTGAAACAACAAACTCACTTTGAAGGTTATCTTCTATACACAGCAGTATGAAGTTGAACAAGGCCTAGACTCATGATAAATTCCTAGAGAGAGCTGACAAAATTTGCAAACAAGAATGACCTTGAGTTATTTTTGAGGTCACAGGGGTCGTATGTATCAAAAATTTCCAACAACTTCTCCTGAAGAAGCTCATCAAAGATTTTCATAAAAATTACCTTCACTTATTTTCAAAGTCACAAATATGACAAAAATGTCATCCAACTTCTTCTGAGTCATAGCATGGAAACATTTTACATCCCCTCCCTTTAACCATATAACCATATACAATTTCTAGGCGTGAAGAGATAAATTCATTCATGCTACCCAGGGATCCAGCCCTACCCATACATTTGTGTCCTTATAGTCTTTCCTGCCCCAAGGGATTTAGTGCTTGTTTCAGCCTATATTTCTTGCACTTTCTGATGAAGTGTACTGTAGTATTCAACAGGTTTTGATTTAAAATAGAAAATGTCCAGGTGAGCTATGAAGGCCCCTGTGCCTCTTGTATATAATTGGTTTGTTGGTTTGGCCCAAAGCCTACAAGACAATGTTTCCTAAGTACATTTCTAAATAAAACCTGCTTATAGTATAATATCCTGTTTGCTAGATAGTAAAGACAGTCAAACTTCCATAAATCGAACTTGGAAGATTAAAATTTCTCATGTGTAGAGCTTACTGCAAAGTCTGGTTGTTGTGTTGGCAAATTTCAAAGCAAATTGCATTTTATCATCATAATGATTAGCATGTAATTTCTACTTTTAATGTACTTTTTAAAAAAATTGTTCTGTTATATTTATTTTCCATTTTGCAGCAGATAGCTAGTAAAATTAAGGTATGTTTACATTGTGACATCCTACAATGGACATGTATTAAAAAGAAGGACAACTCTGTAATTACTCAAGTCTGATCATTTTTACCTTAATGTTCATTGTATAATGCCTAAAACAGAATATATATATATGTCAGTGATTATTTTACATTTTTTTTTATAATAATAGATAAAAAATATATCAATTTTAGAAAAAAAATGTTTTTGTCTCTACATATCAATAAGAACAAATGAATGTTTTCATCCCCAGAATCTTTTGCTGTGATTCCACTCTACAACATCAAGGAAATAAGGCAAAACTTTGACACAAGGTTAAAGATCTTACAAGCGTGCGACTCCCAGCTCCCTGTGGTGACCAACAGGTCAATGGTGAAACAGGTAAGAAATCGACTCTTTGTGCCATAGCCAAAAGGAAAAAAGGAAAAAATGGTTCCTGTGAAATCTAGGATTTGGGCAAATTTTTTACTTGATGTCATGCTGGAACGGACTGGTTTGGATCCTAATTTTGTGGATAAAATGTACTAGAACTTTAAACATGGTATTTAAGGATCCCTGTACCACTACCAAAATTGAAGTATTGGAAATTGATTGTCCGGCAGGACTGTAACTTTAATATTTATATCTGAATGAAAAGAAAACCATACTTTCAGGATATTTCTGAAAAATAATGAAGATGAAATAAACAAAATATTATAAATAGTGTTACAAGTGTAAAGCTTCTGTGGGGTAGATTGGGATTCGAACCCTTGATTTCAGATTGTTATACTATCCCTCTCACCGATTGAGCTACCTGGTCAACAGGAGTGTCCTGGCCCAGCTGTGCTAGAGTTATATCCAAACGAAAGTTACAGAGATGTTATTGTATAAAGGGGGAAAACACTGTTCAGTGGGACAGAGATCCTTAAGTTAAATTCTAGATATTGTTTTATTCCGGGACAGACATCGCTGAACGTATTAATTGTCCGAATCAAATCAACTGTTAAATAATATGTGATAATGCTTATAATGGTGATGTACTAATAATGTAGTAATAATGGCATTATGATGATGATGATGATGTAATGATGTGCTGATGAAGAGGTGTGTTCAGTAAAATATCATAATGATGATGGAAAAGGAGGAGGATGTGCTGATTTGAATGTGGGGATGCAAGTGTCATGTGTGAATTTCATATTTCTTTACATTTGTATACGTAAAATATTCTTGTGAACAAAAATAATTGAATAAACAGAAGAAAAAAGAGAAATGTATCATTTATAATGAACTACAGTGTATTTATCATTCTGCAGGAGATACCAAGATTTGTCCATCGCCAGCTTCCGTCTCACAAATCTTCATATCTCCCTTACTCATGTACATTATGCATACCATTACGTGTAGCTTTAGTAATCCATGTCTAGGGTAGAATAGACATTTCACTGAATTGTTTCTATGTTTTTACTTCAGGGATTGGACGAGGAAATTATCGAGGACATTGTGAACTATTTTCTCAGTGATCGTGATCAGCCCGTTACAGAAAATTCCAAAGCTGCGTTTTTACTTGCTCTCTGTGGCTGGAACCTAAGGTTTGTTCACTCTATCTCTCCGTTTATTGGTGGATTTATAGAACAAAATCTGCTTGTTTAGACCAAAAAATGTGATGAATAGTTGAAAGAGGATTATGGTTCAATAAAGACAACAAATGATATCATTTCATTCTTATACGAATTCGAAGTAGTATATTATTCAGTAGGCTAATTCATCATGATATGTTGTTGTGTTTCCTTGAAAAGAATTTTGATTCAACAGTTCAAAAGTTATTGCCCTTTGTTTATTTCAGTATTTGATTTTTGTCCGGCAATCTCCTCCTACATTTTTCAACGAATTTCTTTGAAACTTGGTATACTTTATAATCATGATATGAAGTTGTGTCTCCCTTAAAAGAATTTCGATTCGACGATTTTTGCAAAAGTTATTGCCATTTGTTCATTTTCTCCTACATTTTTTGACGGATTTGTTTGAAACTTACTAGGCTAAATAATTATGATATGTTGTTGTGTTTCCTTGAAAAGAAAAGAATGTCAGCTTACCACTCTTAGAATGATGCAGATCTTATTTCAATGTAAGAATGTATGTAACACTATATGGCATTCGACGGGCGTATATTGTTCCGCCCGCTGTACTCTTGTTTTTATTGACTCGAGAAGAAATATCATCAGTCTTTTATTGTCTACAAGGAAAGAACTTGTAATATATACAATGGTAGTACCTGTGCATATGCTATTTAAGCATTAAGCATAAGGAGGCATAAGTAGTCTAGTGGTAGGACGCCAGGCTCGTGACCGAAGGGTTGCAGGTACGCGGCGCGGCACGGCACTGTGTATCTTTGAGCAAGATACTTTACTCCGCTTGGTCCAGTCTACTCAGCTGTAAATGAGTATGTGGTTGGGCAGTGCTAGAATTGTTGAATGTTAGCTGTGAGCGCCGAAATGGCAGCACCGGCTGTATGCTCCCCAGGGAGTTGAGAAAGATATTGGCTGGTTGCAAAGACCCTATAATCACGGATAATAATTTGTGAACCGCTGTGAGACGACCTACGAACTAGGTTGTGAGAAAGCGGTATATAAGAACCTCAAATTATTATAATTATTATCATTATTAGCTCACTTGGCCCTTCGAGCTTATGGCATGGTGCGGCGTCCGTCGTCCGACCGGTGTCAACTTTTCACTTTAAACAACTTCTTCTCAGTAACCAAAAGGCCTAGGGTGATGATATTTGGCCAGTAACATGCTTGGATGAAGGGCTACCAAGTTTGTTCAAATAAATGACCTTCATCAATTTTAAAGGTCACAGGGGTCAAATATGTAAACATCTTTAAACAACTTCTTCTGAATAACCGAGAGGCCAAGGATGATGATGTTTGGCCAGTAACATGCTGGGATGAAGGGCTACCAAGTTTGTTCAAATAAATGACCTTGCCTTATATTCAAGGTCACAGGGGTCAAATATGTTTAAAACATTTAAACAACTTCTTCTGAATAACCCAGAGACCTAGGGTGGTGATATTTGGCCAGTGACATGCTGGGATGAAGGGCTACCAAGTTTGTTCAAATAAAGTACCTTGATTAATGTTCAAGCTCACTGGGGTCAAATATGTTTAAAACCTTTCAACAACTTCTTCTGAATAACTGAGAGGCCTAAGGTGATGATATTTGGCCAGTAACATGCTGGGATGAAGGGCTACCAAGTTTGTTCAAATAAATGGCCTTGATTTATATTCAAGGTCACAGGGGTCAAATATGTAAACATCTTTAAACAACTTCTTCTGAATAACTGAGAGGTCTAGGGTGATGCTATTTGGCCAGTAACATGCTTGGATGAAGGGCTACCAAGTTTGTTCAAATGAATGACCTTGACTTATATTCAAGGTCACAGGGGTTAAATATGTTAAAAACATTTAAACAATTTCTTCTGAATAACCAAGAGGCCTAGGATGATGATATTTGGCCATTAACATGCTGGGATGAAGGACTACGAAGTGAATGAACTTCACCCATATTGAAGGTCACTGTGGTCAATATATGTTTAAATCTTTAAATGATTTGTTCCGTATAACCAAAAGGTCCAGGGTAATGATATTTTGCCAGAAGCATGCTGGGTTGGAAGACTATAAACTCTGTTCAACCTAATGTCCTTGTTTGACATTCAAGGTCACAGGCGTCATATGTTTAAATCTTTTAATAGGTTCTTATGAATCAAACACTGATATACTGCCTGTAGCTGTATTTCAGTCCACTTTTAAGATTACAAGTGTGAGATTAATACCAGGTGAGCGATGCAGGCCCATTGGGCCTCTTGTTATTAAACTGCTGTCATTCTGCTGTGTGGTTCATAGGCAATACGAACGCTCACTGCATTACAAGAAAATGACATGAACCACGTTAGCTTAACCACTTGAAATTAAAAGGTGAAACGGCAGCAAAGATTTCCTGGTATACAGTAACGCCGCCTAAATTTTAAGACTACATAATGGACAGGAAGATAATGTTCCATCATGTTATGTTTCTTTCTGTGTCATTTAGTGACAAAGGCAGCACCACCCTAGAATGTAGCTTCTGTCAGCGAACCATAGGCTTGTGGAACTACAAGTCCTCTGGTGGGACTCAAACAACCGAGAATGAGCAAGAGCAGTCTGGAGATGGTCCTGTAGCCAAAAAGTTTAAAGTTGTAAGTATTATTGAATAGCTTCGTAAGATTTCATGAAAGACATCATACGCATCAATTCTGCCTGAAAAAATGTTTTTAAGAAATCAATGACATTCTAATAGATAAGTATGAGAATCAAATCTATGAAAAGTTAAGGCTTATATTTCTTAGAAAAGCTGTCAGAAAAGTCAGATTCTTTAACAGTTTATTTGGCCAAGTGCTGGTAATAAGTAGTCTAAGATTATTACTAAGTAATTCAAGTATGACTCATACATCAGTAACTACCTGTAGTAAGTAGAAAAAATATATAAATGATTTACCATACAAGGAAATGTTGGTGTTGTGACTCTTCAAACTAATCGCCAAATCTAAATTTTGTGTGTGGATATTTTCCACTGTAAATGTACTAAGCATGAAAACTGCAAGCATTTGCACACCACAATAATTGCCACTGTTACAGAATACAGTACAAGTGTAATTATTTTATGGTATTTCATTCTCAGACAGAGAAGGACAACTTTGACCCTATAGCAGAGCACAGGTACTGGTGCTCATGGCTGGTGGATCTGTCTGCCCCTAGAGATGTATCTACACCTTCCAAAGGTTCCCAAGGGAGCCAGTACAGCTCCCCAGTGTGTAGTCCCTCCACCCCAAACAGTAGCAGCTTTAATAGCAGTTTTGGTGAGGGGTCCCCAGGGACCAGTCAACTGGACCTGACCACCAGGCCCTGGTTCTCTATGCTAAAGCTGGTCTGTCCAGGCAAGGTGATGGACACAGAGCCTACTATGACTGACCGTTTCAAACAGGTGATTGACTCCAGGTTCTTAATGAAATGGCTGACTTAAAATTTATATCTATTTTATTGGTATCAAACATTTAGGCAGCTTTGTTAATCTGAATAATTTCCAAGTTAATGTCTCTGCCCTTATATGGTAAGCAGTGTTATTCTTTCTTTAAGTTAATGAGTTTTCTTCATAAAATACCGTGGAGCCTGTGAGTAATAATGCAAATTTGGTGTGTGAAAATTAGATATCTTTGGAATAAAATGTTGAATTGAATAGGAAGTGACTGTAAAGTAAGTTAGTTACGATTATTCATGTTCACCATGTTAGTGTTCTGGTACATTGTATTTCCCAGAAATAATTAGCAAAGTTCAGCTGTGGTGATGATAAAAACTTTCCCAACTTTATTTTTTAACTATTTTTCTTAATTTATGATTTTAACAAATGTTTCAGAATTCTCCAACTGCTGGTCTAAGACAGCTTCGGAGGCTGATGAGGGGGTGGTCTTCTGCATACATAAAATCACCGGACAAACCATCGTGACACAAACTTAGGTCAGCATGCTGTGCTCAAACATCACAGTCAAATCTACCTAAATGAACTGGTATACTGTTGGTGCACAGTTTGGAATGGATTTCTTTACACTGAAATCATAGACTGAAATCTTTTTTTCTTCATTATAACACAAAAGTAACTTTAGAAAACGTCACTCTTTGTTGTTTCACTCGTTCAAAATCAGTAGTAGAAATAGTAAAAGTATTGGGAATTCCATTAATAAATGATAATTTTGGATCTGACTTTCCACACATAATGTTATAAAACTGTTTGGTTATACATATGTAGCTGTTGAAAGTGAAATAGTGGGAGTGCTAGAATAAATTTTTTTGGTGAACAAACAGAGGTGAAGACAAAACGATGGACAAATGGTGTTGAGAACGTACAAGCTTTGTGCGTGTTGATAACTGATTGTACTGTGAGGATGACTGGACGTGAGTGAGATGTTCAAGGAGAATTCTAATGGATGATTATACTGCTGGCAGCGACAGATCAAAGGACTAGTGCCATAAAGGTCAAGGTTATGGTCATAAAGGTCAAGGTTATTGTCATAGGTCAAGGTTATTGCCATAAAGGTCAAGGTTTATTACCATAAAGGTCAAGGATTATACTCTCATTTCCATAATCACATAATTATATTCATGTCATAGATATGAGTAACCATTTAAACCCCATGATCAATACTCTGGTTAGTTTCATGGAATTTAAAATTGGCCACAGTACCTGATAAAAAACTAGAGTTGATGAAAAAATATTGACCAATAGTGGTGGCTGAAGACCCAGTTATTCAAATACAAAATAAAGAGTCTGCATTTATCACTTTTCAGGTAAATGTATATATATATATATGTTAAAAAATTATTTGAAGGCTTCTATTTTGTATTTTAAATCTGTTAATCTAGTTGCATTTCTTATTCCTGACTCATTCACCCCTGAAGACACATTTGAACTCTTCCAATTCAAAGGTTGGAATACTTCATTATAATAATCAGGGATGAATGAGTTAAATTCAGATAATATCCATGTCATTTACAAAGATAAAACGGAAATATTTAAATAGTGTATATGTAAATGTACATGTCTTTTTCATATTATGATACCACACAATTAGACTATATCTGTGTTGGTACATTGTATTGTGTTTTTTTTCTTTTTCATCAACTCTGAACTGCAGCTAAACTAAGTATTATATGAAACAATCTCATATTTGTTATTGATGCTTTCAAATGTTTCTTGTCACAAAATATCTTTAGTATAGAATTAAACACAATGGGCTGTTTAAATTTAATAAAAGTAAAATATGTTAATTTAGAAATATCCTGCTTAATTGTATTTGTTGTGATCTCATAAATAAGTCTGTTTGATATTTTGCAATCTTTTGTATTGTTATGAGCTTGTTATGAGCGTATTACAGTAGGGTTTTGTCATATTTAATATGAAAATATATAGATTGTATGGTCAGACAGTCAACTAGGTTATAAACATGTTTTGACAATTTACAAATTCAATTTTGAAGAAAAAAAGTTGAGTTTGATTGTGTGTATTATCGTAAGGTGGTTATTTTGAATTCCAGGTCACTCGTGTTGTTTTCAGTTTTGATATATGTGGAAAAGTTGAAAATTTACTTTCATGTTGAAGCTTAAGATTGTTAGAAAAGGAGGCCAGATTGGGTAACACATTTTATTCTCGTTTAGTTGAAGTGGTGTTGTAATGCTGCTCCCTGATGATTGGTTTATATCAATTTCACCAAGGTTACAGAATGGACACACATGCACTCAGCTTTTTTAAATGTCTTAAGTCTATAGAAAAGACCACTTGTTATTAGAAATAGAAGATCTGCTGCTTTTGGTAAATTGTCCACACTGGGTAGTTTTCACCAAAATAACTCAAAACAAAACAATCAAAAGATAATTCTAGTCCCCTGGAAACAAATATTTCATAGAATTTAATCACTGTACATGTTTTAATCTTTTTTCTCTCTCTCACTCTCTCTCTATTTGGAAGCTCATAACTTTAGCAGATTTGCTAAAATGGACAATTTTGTGGTATCTGTTACCTGTGGATTTCAGATCTAGTATCTGTAACGCCTTGCCATGGTAACGATGTTATTTGCTATTAATTTTGTGGAATGTATTTTTCACAGAGGAAATACTACCATGAAAAAGTTTGAACCAAGCTAGAAACACCACCTTAGCATATTTAAAAGAAAATTATCATTATATATCTCGTAAAAGAAATACTACAACTACAAAGAGTATTAAAGCTTTGATAATCTATTATGAGGCTTTAAAATATGATTTTTTACTACAACGTTTCAAATTTCTGGTATTTATACAGAGCAGAATTTTGAGAAATGCATTTAGAAATACAGCAACAGAAAAAAAGAACTTGCAACATATGTATTTCTAAATTTCAAAAATCTATAATGTTGGGTAGTATTGGGTGTTATTGGTGCATTGTAAAATTGTAATGTTGAGCATATTTTGTTGTAGTTTTTCAGATGGCAACTTGGTATTAAGCAATGTCTATTTAAGATTTTTGGAGGGTTCTTCGTGTTTTTGAAAATTGTTTTATAGTAAAAATTATTTGGTAGTACCAATGCTTGTTGTCTTATAACTAACATGTGACTTTGTTCAATGATGTGCAATTAAATCTCTCTTCAACTCAAATGTTTGGTTCTATTATTTTTAGACAGAGAATTACTGTGGGGTGTGTGTAATGATCATAACAGGTGTCTGAATCAAGAGAATGCTTTTTGGAGCTACATTGTATTTTGATACCAAAAAGGGGAAAGATGAACTGAGCAAAACAGTTTCAGTCACATTTCACACAATTTCCCCCTTATTGGAAATGTGGAATGAGGAAGATCTCCCTCATTGGAGGTTTCAGAAGTTGACACCTATGACAGTGTCACAAGTTACTCACAAGTTACTTGATCATGTTGATTGATGTTGGGCGAGATGAAAGTCCTAGGGCTATAGTTTGTCTGCAACCACTAGCAAACAAATGATCTTGACACAATTTCAAGGTCACTGAGGTCAAAGGTGATAAAACTTTTTTAAACAACCTTTCGGAATAATCCGTTGGTCGTGACCAGGTCATTTTGACCAATATCATGCTGGGGCGATGAGTTATCTAGATCTTGGGTCACGTTTGTCTGTTGTGGGTCATACTTCTGTAAGCAATTTACATTTTTGACCATGTGGTTAGACAAATATTGTTTGGTTTGGTTTGTGCTATGTCCTTTTAACAGCTATGGTCATTTAAGAATGTGCCAAGTTTTGGTGGTAGAGGAAAACAAACTTGCTGGTAGTACCTGGCAACTGCCCCATGTAAGCCTCGAACCCGTGACCCAGTGTTGGAGGGCGAGTGATCGTAGATTGTCCGACACCTTTAACTACATGTATATGGATCCCAACCATGAGGGGTCTAGCCAAAATGTGAAATTAGCTAAAATTTTAACAATGTCCTTCACATATTTGCTAGACTCAAATACCAGTACTCTTGATGGATGGAAGGGCTCTATATTACCCTTTGGGCAACCATTCCCCCTTAGTCCTCGAGACAATGCCTTGGGTCGGACCCAGCATGCTAATAGGATGGTGGGCTACAAATTTTGTTGAAATGGCATAAACTGGTGACTCCAGGTGAGTAGTACAGAAGATACGCCCTGGACGAAATCTTTGGACAGACAGACGGATTGAGTATAAAACTTTATAGTCCCCCCCCCTCACCTTAACTGGTGGGCGACTAACATTGAAAGCTGAATGGATATTACCATGTAATTATGATTCCACGGAGATGTAGGCCTACATCAACTTTCATCATTTGGCATTTACCTTGGCAGAAGAGTTCAGAAAACAGTACACAAAACACCTACTGGTGTCACTACGACCGATGCAAATGAAGAATAGAAAGCTGTATACAGAGAACCGAGATACATACCAAAGAGACACAGTTTTAGGATTTAACATTTTTTATTCATTTCCTTAAAGAATAAATACATATTGATCTAGTATAATGTGCTAAAATCATTTATCTCAGTCTACAAATTACATGTACTGGTAAACAGATGCCACATGCATGCATTATCAAAATGAGGTGCAGAACGATAACAAATGATAAGTTCAGGGGTATCTATACAGTGAAAAAAATGCTGGTCAACCAAGAATTCTAAACTAATGACCTACCCGCAACAAATTCTTGGCTTCAAATTTCCGTCATGGTTTTCTAATTGGTTGACTGGAAAGGTTTAAACTTCCACTGCTTTGATCAAAAGTGACTAGATTTGTATTGACAAGGGCCAAATTTGTTTAGTACATCTGGAAGATTAAGGTGAGAATTAAGTTTAGGAATGTGTGTTTAAACAAGACATACATGAACATATGATGTGCAATGTTGTTGTTTTTTTGTTCAATTAAAAGCTACAGTACATGTGCTGATCATGAAATGTAGTACTCCATAATGATGCATTCCTGAAGAATGAACATGAAATCTTTAACGAAGTAGATTATCTAGGAGCTTTAAGGTTTAAAAAAAAAAAAAAATCTCGATGAATTTCTAGTATTTTTATTACCAGGAGGTCTCATTGAATTGTTTTTCCTTTTAGAATCCTGAATTGGAGTGCAAGAATTTGGGTGGTATGTTACAAATTAATGAGGCTATTTTTAGAACTGCTGGATACTTTTAAGTAAGTATATCCTGAGGATACCCGATGGTTCACAGGTACAACTTTACATAACAACAGTATCCAATTACATGTACCAAACAATTCAGAAATAATTTTCACAAATGAATTCAACAATCATAATCCCTTGGTTTATAAACTTTACAAACAAGATTACAATCCGATGTCTATATCCTTAGTCCAACCTAGTCAAAAATTTTAAGAATGGTTTTCCATGTGATCTGCACCAGCTATATATTTTCAGTAACAATATTTTTCAGTGCGTGTACAATTTAAGTTAATTCACTTAATCAAACTTGCAACTTGCTATATTTTCTAAAAGATTTCTTTTTTAATTACTTATTGTATGTTTGCTACAGGTCGACATGAAAACAACCCAGTGAATTTACTATCCAGCACAGTAATAATTTCCAAAGCATATATTCCATCTTAAAATACAAATGACACTGACAAATATTTTGCCTTATATGCAACACGTCATAATATATACTTCACATTGTTTTATACTGAGTATACAATGGAACATTGTCCGGACAATAAGTTTCAGATGAAAGTCTGGCATAACAATTTTTTGGGGAATAATGAAACATGAATTGTCAACAAAATGTGATCACTTACCAGTATCCTGGTAGCAAGTAGCAAGTAGCTATTAAAGCGTGCAAGACAATTCAAGATTCCATCATATACAGGTTTCTTGGTCACACAAATAGACCTAATAATTAACATGTAGGTCTGACCTTAGTATTACTGGTTTGAAATTGGTACAATGCTTCGACCATTTTTAAGACAAATTTGATGCAAGTAACACATATTTGACCTTGGTAGCTCAGATTTGACCTTGGTAACACATGTTTGACCTTGTTAATACATGTTTAACCTTGGCAACACTGTTTTGACCTTGATAGCTCATATCTGACCTTGGTAACATTTTTGACTTTTGCAACAGGTTTGACCTCGGTAATACATGTTTGACCTTGGTATCACTGTTTTCACTTTTGTAGCTCATATTTTACCTTGGTAACATGTGTTTGATCTTGGCAACACTGTGTTGACCTTGGTAACACATGTTTAACCTTGATAACGCTGTGTTGACCTTGTTAGCTCATTTGTTTGACCTTGATAACTACTAAGTCTATTACATAACTATAACCCCAGGACACATTAACAAATTAAGCAAAAAACAAATCACAAATGATATATATCAACATAGGTTAATTATCAATACATATAATGGGTAAGTAGCATTAAAATAAATCAACAGGAAAAATCAATACATTCAAATGTCAATGCTATTTTCCCACATTTAAGAACTTGTGTATAACATCTTTTGAACAGAATTAACAGGTTTTGGTACATTTTTTCTGTGATGGTTTCGAGAATTGAAAAATGAAAGAAAACTTGAAAAAAATCTTACAATACATGACATTCCTTCATGGAAATAGGTTTTTGTATCTGTGAAATGTAAAATTTCATTAGAAGATTGCTTTAATTGTGCACTTTTAAAATGACTTAAGAATCAGTGCATGCTTAAATCTTTGTGAAATCCATCAGAACAAGCTCAACAGTCAATGTAAAATGCTGTGTTTTCAACAATGATAATGACTTCAAGAAGATTGATAATGTTTGTTTTCTTCATTTTAGTACTGTGTTCATACATTTAAATAATGAAAATGACATGACTGACAATAGTTTAATATCCTACTAGAACAAAAATCACCACATGGGGAAAAAACTTCTATAAATTTGATGGTCAGATGTTACTCTTTGATATGTAGACCCTAATATCAGTACTCAATGCCTTACATAGCCGAGTATTGGAGATTCAAATGTAAATTCATTGTCTTCAACAAATTTACAAAGTATGAAAGTTATACGCCATACAGAATGTTGCAGAAAGTGTTTTTTTAGTTTTTTTTATTAAAACCAGTGAATATGAAATGAAAGTGATATAGGACAATAATTTAATCCTAAACACCTAAACAAGTTGAATATTCTTTTCAATATCTTTGAAAACCATTTTATCAAATGAAAACAATTAGAAATATCTTACTGATATCAGAAAACAGTACGGAAAACCTGGCATACATGTATACAATCAAACGTAACTATTGTCTGACAGAAAGGATAGTGCGACTGAATTCTTTAAAGTAAAACATAACAGGGAAATGTAGCAAAACAAAGATAAAATGCATTGTACTATTAAAAGCTGAAAAATCACTTCGGCATCCATAACCAGGTTCTCACACACGACATGCAATCCTTTACACCCCTATCGCTCATACACGCACCACACATCAGGCACAAATCACGCGAACAGACACAAGTTTATCATTCAAATATATATATATGTTAGAAAATTCAAGATGCAATAAATTCTCATCAAAATCTCTTTCTATGCCAAATATCATTTTCATTTACCCAAAATTCATCTGAAACAGGTAGTTCTGTCTGACTTTTCTTATCTCATCTAACACATGCCTCCAGACAAACAATTTTTGATCTTTAAAAGAAATGTAATTCATTTTATCACAAAGAATGATTTTATCTTATTTTTTGCTATTAATTAACTTAAACTAATTCCTCCTACTTTTTCTAAAGGAATGTAATAGAAGTAATTTCCAAAATTTAAAAAGTCAATTCAAATCTTGACAGAATAAATTTGCATATAATTTCTTTTAGTGATGTTTCATTAAGATAATTGAATTTGTAATTCCTCCGTTATTTTATTACTAATTAAGAAATTCGAAGTTTGATTTCCCTAATCATTTTATTTTAAAATGTAAAAACAAAATTGCACGTAACAAATACTAATATCTTTTGTGTTGTTTAAAGATATTAACGCCTAAAACAGTGATCACAATCAATTGGATAAATCAATATATTTTTCAACTATTAAAATCACATTAAAATTGATATTTCTTGCATATCAAAAACATTGTGTAGAGTCTTGTATCTACATTACATCAAAACACATTTGCAGGCATATTGCATTTTGGATTTTCCTAAACAACATGATTAATAATCAATGATACACTACATGAACTCCGTTGGGAGAAGACCAGGGGATGGCTAACGTTGGTTTTAATTCCACACAAAGGGTCAACTTTCATGAATCCTCTATATCAACACAATATTATACATAACCCAACGACACTTGCAGCAATGTTTCAACATTAACGAGGTATCTTTAGTCAGTGCTACAGGTACCTGTAATCTTAACAGGGCATTTGTTTAGAATAAACCAATCTTTCTTCAAATTTTTACCTTTTCTCTCTTCAAAGCATAAAAACAAAATGTGATGCTTATCTTTTCTTAATTTACTCTGTCTTTAAACAAATTTAACACTTGTGAAAGGAGTTTCTATGATAATATTTGAGTACAAAGATCAATAAACTATTCACTGTTCCTTTTTTTTTCTCCGTGTCTTTAACATAATCACTACATACAATGAAAAATCAAGCAAGAACTTGCATGTTGTGCCAACTCTGGTTTTAATATTATATTGACTTTTCAAGAATATTTCTGTTTCTTTTAATGGGACATAACTTTTATAATTACTATAAAAGATACAACTGGTCTTAAAATGCATGTCCCCGGTAACTGAATAGCTGCACAAAATATTTTCATAAACATTGTCCCATTTCTACTTTTCAGCTATGTCAATGTATTATTTAAAATAAAATTACTTGACATTTTCGTTTTATTTAGAAGTTGGGCCATATTTGTTCCAAATATAGTTATTGCTATGTATAACTTCATAATGATTTCGAAAACATTTGAAACAGTTTTTTTCCCAAAAAGCTTTCTGAAGGCTTCATTTGTAAGAAAGAAAGTCTGAAAGACAAAATGGGTAGAAAAACAGATTTGTAGCACTGTGAAATGACTGAAAGACCAGACAAAGAATCAATCTGTTTGAAAGTCAAATTAAGGTAACAATAAAATACATGTCGCCTTGTTAGCTGTTCCTTAAAAAGACAAGATATAACATTTCAACAATTCCAAACATCTATCATCTATTGTGATTAAAATTATTTTTTTAAATAAATGTGTCTTTCAAATAAAATTCTGAAGTGCATATTAAGCATATGCAACGAATGTCATAAATTTCTCGTAAGAGTATTGAACTTTGAAATGTACTCGAGAATGAAATATTTTAAATTTCTTTTTTGTAAAATAATTAATTTGAATCCAAGTCCATAGGCATGCATCAGCATACCATACAATTAAGCTATGAACATATACAATACAAACTCAACACAAGCTTAAGTTGTATCAATCTAACATCTCCTCTGGAGTAAAACCCTTAATACAGCAAGTATGGTTTCTTATACAAAACACCTGTTTCCACTCAGTACCCTATGAAGATTATTATATTTATGGACTTTTCTTCACCAACTAAAACCATTTCATGCAAATAAACCACAGATAGATCTGACTAGACAAGGAAAGTCTACCATTTTGTCAATACAATCAACAACAGGTACCCTGAGCTTTCACTGGAAAATAAAACTATTTCAATGGAACACATTTTGTATCAGATTTGACCTCTAAAAATACCTACTGAAATAACAGAGAATTTTGATCAGATCGAAATTGCCTTCGTGGATGTTGATTTGATAAAAAAATATCCCTGAGTTTATATTGTGATCGACAGAGGATAAAGGAAAGCATTATCTCTCTTCAGCATTTAGCAGTCATAAAAAGGTTTACATTGTCTTTTCATTTGAACTAGCTTCTTGCAAAACAATCTTCATCTGAAGGCAATATGGTATGAAAAGTGAAACTAATCAATCTGATAGATCTCATGTGGCTTAAAAGAACGAAATGGCTCAACTTAATACAGAAATTTTGACAGAGACAAATCCTGAACTCTGAAAATAAACATGAAGTCATATAACAACAGACTGGTCCAGATCTCAGACGTCCCTGTAGCAACAGACAAGTGTCGCACAGTCACTGATCCCCATGGTCGGTGAGAGGATGATGTACTTGTATGTACAGATGAGAATGTCTAGTGTACGATGTGTTATAGCTCCATGTCCTGTGCCTCATCCTCGGAGAAGTCACTCATGGAGCTCTCACTAGACGATGACTGATGCTCTTGTTCTCGAAGGGCCTCTTCTGTTGCATACTTTCTAACATACTCTGTCAACATAAAAAACAGCACCATTTTGTTTAGTTACACACTTCCTAACATACTCTGTCAACATAAGAAACAGCCCCATTTTGTTTAGTTACACACTTCCTAACATCCTCTGTCAACATAAGAAACAGCACCATTTTGTATAGTTACATACTTTCTAACATACTCTGTCAACATAAGAAACAGCACCATTATGGTTAGTTACATACTTCCTAACATACTGTATCAACATAAGAAACAGCACCATTTTGGTTAGTTACATACTTCCTAACAAACTGTATCAACATAAGAAACAGCACCATTTTGTTTAGTTAAACACTTCGTAACATACTCTGTCAACATAAGAAACAGCACCATTTGGTTAGTTACATACTTCCTAATTAACATACTCTGTCAACATAAGAAACAGCACCATTATGGGTAGTTACATACTTCCTAACATACTGTATCAACATAAGAAACAGCACCATTTTGGTTAGTTACATACTTTCTAACATACTCTGTCAACATAAGAAACAGCACCATTATGGTTAGTTACATACTTCCTAACATACTGTATCAACATAAGAAACAGCACCATTTTGGTTAGTTACATACTTCCTAACATACTCGGTCAACATAAGAAACAGCACCATTTTGGTTAGTTACATACTTCCTAACAAACTGTATCAACATAAGAAACAGCACCATTTTGTTTAGTTACATAATTCCTAACATACTCTGTCAACATAAGAAACAGCACCATTATGGGTAGTTACATACTTCCTAACATACTGTATCAACATAAGAAACAGCACCATTTTGGTTAGTTACATACTTTCTAACATACTCTGTCAACATAAAAAACAGCACCATTTCATTTAGTTACATACTTCCTAACATACTCTGTCAACATAAAAAACAGCACCATTTTGTTTAGTTACACACTTCCTAACATACTCTGTCAACATAAGAAACAGCCCCATTTTGTTTAGTTACACACTTCCTAACATCCTCTGTCAACATAAGAAACAGCACCATTTTGTATAGTTACATACTTCCTAACACACTCTGTCAACATAAAAAACAGCACCATTTTGTTTAGTTACACACTTCCTAACATACTCTGTCAACATAAGAAACAGCACCATTTTGGTTAGTTACATACTTCCTAACATACTCTGTCAACATAAGAAACAGCACCATTTGGTTAGTTACATACTTCCTAATTAACATACTCTGTCAACATAAGAAACAGCACCATTTTGTTTAGTTACATACTTCCTAACATCCTCTGTCAACATAAGAAACAGCACCATTTTGGTTAGTTACATACTTCCTAACATACTCTGTCAACATAAGAAACAGCACCATTATGGTTAGTTACATACTTCCTAACATACTGTATCAACATAAGAAACAGCACCATTTTGGTTAGTTACATACTTCCTAACATACTCGGTCAACATAAGAAACAGCACCATTTTGGTTAGTTGCATTTTTTCTAACATACTGTATCAATATACCAAATGGCCCTATTTTAATAAAGTAATATATTACATCATAGAGGTGCACATTTTATAATGTAGTAATTTCAATTATTTTTGTTTTAAAATTGAAATTAATTACCTGAAATGACAATCTTTATACTAGAGGACATACCTGAATAAATATATGGGGAACAGGTAGACATTTTTTATGACATCTGCCTTCCACATATTTATTCTGGCTGGGTCCCACTTTATAACCTTATAAATGTTAACCCCCCCCCCCCAATGATGTACATTGTAAATTTGTACACTTATTTTTTTGGTATTATCAAAATTATTCTATCTGGAATAGCCATTAGCATATATATATAATGATGATGCCACATTAATGCAACGTTGGTTTCAAGAAGCTGAGTTTGTTTAGGGCCTTTCTTTTATTAGATAAACATGAAAAATACAACTTTTTTCTTCTTCCAACAAAGGTGTTTCTTGTTTCTATACCAAGAGTTGAACAGTGGCAATTTACTCTCATTTGTGATTTGAACATATTTTACGAAATAAGTGTAATCCCTATTGGAACTTAAATTTTCATCATCATTCTTCTATCTCTTTTCATACAAAGTCTCATAAGTCTGTTCAATATTTCATAACATCAGTATTTCTATACTAATCCATATGATATTTTTTCTTTTATCTCCAAACCATGACTTGAGATATTTTGGCTGTTAGCTGACATCCAGATATTTGTATCAAATATAAACATTTACCTTGTACTTTCTTTTTGTAGTCCTCTGGCTTGTGCAGGTACATGGCAGCTGCGTCTCCATTTAAAGGATCTATTGGGTTAGGGTAGGTCAGGAGCTGGGGCAAGAAAGACTCAAAGATGTTGGACAGGTCTGCAACACATTAGGCTTACGTGTTAACACATTTATATCCCAAATCAAATCATGTATATTTTAATGTAAACTAATTTGTTTTTACATACATAGTGCTTTTGGTGTATAAAGTCTTAATAAATCTGTTAAATCTATTATAATATATAAGTAAAAGTTGTTGTTTTCCAACGAAATGTAACATGAAACAACAGATATTATTTACTTGGCCCGAGAGTGACTGTTAAGACAAAACAAACAAATATTGCTCTTTTCCATACATTCTTACCTAAATCTTCGCTATATATATTCATATCAAATAGAATTCTAAAACTTTGAATATTGATATGTTTTCAATCTTGAACACCTACATATCGAAAAATTAACTGGTAATTAATATATATTGCAAAAGAAATCAAACTTCATGAAAATAATACAATGTACCTTCGTCTTTATTTTAAACAATAGATATTCCGCATTAAATACTTGCCATACAGAGCTGTCCATGCTTGGTTGATGACGTCTAAACACACTGTACCCGACCTGTAAGAAAAACACTCGAAATAATACGTGAACATTTACAATAAAGTCATCAGGGATACAGATGCTAAGTTGCACAACACAATTTTCAACTTTTTGGGGCATTGTGTTGTATCTGAAATTAAATAAACTGTAAAATCTCTACAAGCATATGGAAATGTTCTTATACATACATTTTGTGACAATAAAGTTTACATATCCTCAGTGTGATTACCACATTAGTGGTGTTTCACAAAATTCTGATAAAAAAATATTTTCTGACTGATAATCTTATTTCAGTCTATCCTTCCTGCTAATTTTATTAATTTTATTAGCAGGGATATACCTGGGTAAAAAGAAAAGTATGGACTTACACTTCATCTATGTTAGGATGGAAGATCCTATTCATGAAACCTAGAAATGGAAATAAAGGCATCATTCACATGAAACCATTCACTCAGGTTTTACATTTTTACTATTTTAACTTGTTTAATTTCAAGAACACATTCACCAATTACAGTACTGTGAAAACATGATCATCTTATTTAATCTTTCTTTTACTTGTTGGATAGCAACTCATCACCAGGATTGATTTATATATGAAATTGGAACCATTGACGTCATAACCAGTGATTGGTTAGGATGTTAACACAACTGTTATGCAGATAAATTTCTAAACAGAAGCAAACCTATGGAAGGTGACTTGAAAGGGTACTTCTCGGGTAAATCCACCCTAACTTTCCACACACCTCCTTCATATGGAGCTGAAATAATAAGTCAATATTCATCATTAACAAACAAGGCATTGCAGGCTATACGGATGCCCTTGTGAAATGCAAACTGGAACAAGAGATAATTTTGTGAACATGTTTTTGAAGTTTCATGCAACCAGATAAGAAATGAAGTCTGTAGAACAGTTTCTATCAAATTCTACTCATAGTAAAATAACAATGACCTAGTTTGTGACTGCAGGAGGTTGAAATGTCAATTCAAATATGGGATGATGTTTATGAACATGTGTGTGACGCTTCATGACAAATCGAAAAACAAATGAAGTCTGTAGTGCAATTTCTATCAAGCTCTATATTTACAGTAACAGTGACCTAGTTTTTGACCACAGAAGGTCAAAACACAATCTGGTACAAGAGGTGATGTTTGTGAACCCGTGTGAAGATTCGTGGCAATTGGAAAAGAAATAGTCTGTAGAGCAGTTTCATCCAAAATTTCTATGTATCTATCTATAGCTTAGTATCATTCAGTGACCTACTTTTTCACTGTAGAAGGTTGAAACTTTAACTTGTACGAGAGGTGAGTTTTGTGAACATATTTTTTGACCACAGAAGGTTGAAACATGAACTCAAACAAGAGGTATGCTTGTGAACATGTATGACCGTGAAGTTTCGTAACAATTAAATATATATACACATATATACAAGCAGATCCCTATATACCTTAGACAACCCATCACAAAGTTATAATAATCACAATAGTGATCAACCCTGGTATATATTTAATTCAACCCTGGTATATATTTAATTCAACCCTGGTATATAATTGATTCAACCCTGGTATATATTTAATTCAACACTGGTATATAATTAATTCAACCCTGGTATATATTTAATTCAACCCTGGTATATATTTAATTCAACCATGGTATATATTTAATTCAACCCTGGTATATACTTAATTCAACCCTGGTATATAATCAATAATAAGTGCTGAAGCTAATAATGCTTCCTTCAGCAATTTCCTGAGTTTCTTTGGCAACATATTGTATCATTTGGATTCAATTCAATATTGTACAATAATATTATCAAGTCAATTTAATTAGATCTAGACCTGATCATTGATGATGCTTGAAACAAATTCAATCATACAAGCATATGAAAAACAGTATATTACATTATTCTGTTCAAGATCATAAAATATGAAATTATGTATGATAGCTTGAATCCTTCTTAACACATATTAATTGAAGATTAATTCAGCCAACTTGAAAGAACAATGAAACTTTTATTTATTTTTGCACCCTATGCAGCCAGTACAACATATTGTTTAAGTAAATACTCACTGCTCACAGGTCCATAGAACTTCACTATGAACTCATTCAGGCCTCCAAGAATAGTGACCTCATGTTTGCTCTCAATCCTGAAGTCTTGGTTAAGGTTATATTATAAGCATCAGTACTTCTGTGTATATTTTACAGATGTGAACATACCACATGATATTGTAAATCAAAAATTGGATTTTTATGAGGACTGGGGCATTTGACATACCAATTATTTTTAATAAAATTGTCAAAATGCAAAATGTGTCGCAGTACTCCATTTATTTACAAAAAGAAAATGAATTCCTTCTTATATTCCAAAAATTATTGATAAGGTTTTACCACTTTTGGCATAATTAGCACTCCTTCCCCTATTAGCACCCCTCCTTTTTCTTTTGAAAGGAATTGAAATTTTATAGACTCCCTCCCAAACCTAACCAGGCCCAGTCAATGATTAATAGTACTTACACTTTAACTCATTAACCCCTGAAATTTCATAATGAACTATTCCAACCTATGAATAGGAAGAGTTCAATTGTGTCTTCAGGGGTGAATTAAAGCAGAGATTTGTGTCTGATGATCATGGACAGCTCTGTATGGCTTGACTTCCTATGAAGCAGATTAAATATTTTATTTTCAAACTCCGGCCACACTTGAATGTTTATGATGTCTTTCAGTGATAGCAACTGGTTGAAGTTGCACAAATTTTCTATCACAAGTCACATTTAATTATTGTTATAAATGTCCCCTTTTAAGCCAATTTTTTAAAGTGTCCTGGGTGCTCACTACGACGAATATGGTATAAAGACTTTTAGGACATAATGAACAATACCAACAACCAATAACAACACCCAAAGAATGGTGTGATGTTCATCACTTGTGTTTGCTATATGGAGGTTATCTTTGGGTTAAAAACACAATATGATAGAGGCCTATTGTGATAAATGTCAAGTGAAATTATATATAGTACCCGGTAGTGGATGGACATTGTGGCAAGATAACATTATGACATCACACAGGGACTCTGCATGAATGATGCTATTTATAGCCAACTATTATTGCAGGTGGAAAAGAAGCCTGTACATTTTATACCAGAAAAGCTATACATGTACAGTCAAACTGGGGCCATCTTCTTCTGGGTATCATCACGGACTTAGATATCATTGATAACATATCCAATTTGCCATACTTTTATATAACTTTTGATAAAATACAAGTAATTAAATGATGTTGTCTCAATATCATATACTGCTTGAAAACTTGAAAACTGAAAGGAAAAAACTTGGATCCTTTTTGATTTTTTCTACTGAGTCTGGGCTTAATTATTTCACTATTGTCAATGAAATGTGGGTTTTCTCCGGGTACTCCGATTTCCTCCCACATTTAGACCCACCGCACGCTAACATCCGGGCCAACAAGAGTGATTAATATAAGTTGAAATAACTTGTTTCATAATTGTTGTAAAATAAATAAAATTTATATATAATTAAATAAGGTTAATATATGCCACCTGTTTAAGTGCCTCCATAACCACTGGCCTCAAGAATTGAACCCAAATTCCTTAACTGCTCAAGCCAGTATAGGGAGTAACTACAATTTCTAACCACAGGAAATGAGGGGGTTCTTGCACTTGTTGACATTTCATTAGCAGTCAGTAAAGTATTGCAACTATTTGGTTCAAAATAGTTAACATGACTATGATGCTTAACCCCACAAAGATAAAATTAAATTTAGAAGCTCTGTGGTTATGAGAATATCTTTAAACTGAGCTTTTTGTAAGGTATTTAATTACCACAAGTATTTTTAAGGATCCTGATATCAATATTAAAATTTCTGTTTCTCTCCAACCATAAATAAGTGAGGCGTATTATACTCCTTTTATCGCTGAGCAGAAGGCAATGAGAATTTATTTGTTAAAAATAGGGTACTTAATTATAATCTTCAATGCTGAATGGACAGATGCCATTTTCTGTGGTTGTAAATATACAGATTGAAACACTAATGGAAAAAGAACCAACAAGGTGAATTTGATGTATCAACTGTTTTTTTATTGGCCTTAAAAGTTGGGAGGGGGGCAAACATGTTTGTCCCCCCCTCGCCACTTCCTTCACCAGTGCAGGTGCCCTCACACTGATTATCGTTTTCCTGATCAAGAGAACAATATATTGAGACCAAAGGGAAACAAAATCTCTCTGTCACCATATCACCTGCAGGCATTTATAACTAGTTCCATGACATACACTCACTTCCTTGTCCAAACAACCGTATTTATTTGACTGTGACTTGGCCGCCTAGTCAACATATAATCAACCTAGACATAGTTTGCCATAGTATCTACTCTGTTTATAAGCAATATTGTCTCGTCTTTATTTTGAGGAGAAATTTAAACATTTTACCTTCAATATTTTTTAGTTTTTAAATAAACATTTTTATTGAGTTTTATTTGGCTCAAATTCAAGTTACAGCAATTAATTGCATCAAACAGCTACTCCTTAAACTCATTTTGTCAAATAGGGGTCAATACATACATTTTAGACATTTTTAGAATTTGCCAAATGGTTTCTCATTGGAGAGAAATTTTGAAAGTTTACAAGTATGCCATGTTAACAATTATAATACCAATCAATATCTATATATCTGTAAAGACTTGAAGAGTTTTAGACATTTTTAGAATTTGCCTAATGGTTTCTCATTGGAGAGAAATTTTGAAAGTTTACAAGTATGCCATGTTAACAATTATAATACCTATCAATATCTGTATATCTCTGTAAAAACTTGAAGAGTTGAAGTTGGTCATTATATCTCAAGTGTTTCTATCATACCTCTGTATATATACACATGTACCTGGTACGTTTATACATGTAAAATGACATTTGTCACTATATAACGACAATTACATTTATCAATATATAATGACACAGTACATCAGGTACAAAATGATCTTGTTTCTTTGTCCTTAAATGAGGTAGCAGAAGAAAATACCTGATTCCATTGTATCTATAAAGGTAAAGAAAAGATCTTAAAGACTGATACAGAGCCTGAGATATAAGGTGGATGTAAGGGAGTCAGCATGCAAGAGGACAGGAGAAGCTAGGGGTTTCTAGTGGAGAACATGATGAATTGGTTTAACCTTTTCACCCCTGAAGACACATTTGAACTCTTCCAATCCAAAGGTTGGAATAGTTCATTATGAAAGATCAGGGGTGAATGAGTTAAGGAAGATAACAGCTGGTAGAAACTAACTGCTTGTTTAACCTGCAGTGGTTAAATTAAATCAAAGTCATTTATGTTACAGGACAATAGCCAGATGAGCTTCTGTACAAAGACGAGAGAAATATTTTACTTTATAAGTTACTAAAGACGTGCTGCAGACTGTATGAGTCATATATAACTATATATTTATTGATCACTGAGCATCACCAGGGTCATTACAGAGTTTCTTTAGATTTGCATTTCATTTCCTTGTAATAGAGGGTGTTTTCCTTACATCTAAAAGGTTGTTGAATTGCAGTATTTCTTTTACAAGTATGGGTAACAATCACTGTACTTGTATAGTTGGAGCTTGTTCACATAATTATTGATTCTATAATCTCTATATAAATAGATGTGCACAAACTGGGAATTATTTTGCAAATTGCTGCTCAACATACCACATGTCTGCAGTTGTATTGTATTGGTTTTCTGGGAGTAAATTGAATGTGCACTGCTGGATGCATCGCTGAACAGTACTGTATTCATTGTTGCAAAAGACAACCACGTTCACACTATTTTATTTTTCATACCCATAGAAACAGAAAGTGATTTCTATCATTACTTTTTTTTTATTAGATTGGCAAGTTAAAGAAAACCCATGGAAGAGGTATATTGTCAGTTTCTTTTATCTACGCCACAACCCCTCATCTGCTAACTAAAACATAAAACTATCACATGGTTTGGTTGGTCTGCTACAAGTTGTCTCGTGTCAGATCTGGTCTCTTTACCAAACATCTTTAATTCACCAGGTCAAAGTTGTCCAGCGTAATTTTCATTTATTTTTTATGTTTTAAGGCACACGTTGACTACAATTCCATGTCTTACGCTGACACTTGTAGGCATTTTAATCTTCCCAGCCTCGAACATAGGCGGGCATTTTTAGACTGTGTATTTCTTTACAAATGTGTTAATAGTGCTTTTGATTGTCCATATTTAGTCAAGCAAATGTGTTTTTTAGTCCCTGGTCGTAATCTATGATCAATTCGTTTTTACCAGTTTTACTGCCAGAGAAGTAGAATACACGTTAGAAAGTATAGTATTCAATTTAATTTTAACTATCTTGATTTTGCACCAGACTGTGATATGTTTTGTTCCTCTCTCGCTGAGTTCAAAGTACAGTTAAAGAATATTTGCTATCACTAATTCCTTTTGTTTTACATATGAGTATCTTTTAGTCTGTGTTACATGCATAACTGACTGTGCTATTTTATACTTGTGTTGTAATGTTGTTATCCATTCTGTAAGTGGACCCTTGGGTCTGTTGAATTGGAAATAAATAAATAAATTGGAAATAAATAAACAAGCACCACTCAAGTACGATATCCATCAACATTTATACCAGGTATTTTTTGTGAACGTCCTTGTTATCCTTGGTAAATGTAAGAACCCTGTTTAATTAAATGAGTTCCTTGTCATTAAAACAATGTATGAGTCAGGAATCTTAATATGTAGCAGACCAAAATCAAAAATAACTTTGTAAACATTTCCTTTCCCACTGCTACCATACATTGGGATAAATCTGGACTGAATATAAAACAGTAACAAGAACTTAAACATTTATGCTATGAAAAGACAGGGAATTTGAACTAAAAGTTGGCATGTAATGTAACCCTTATTGTAAAAGTAATGTACTTGAAATCATTTTAGTTTAGGCTAAATATATATCTGCATTAATTATGAATTACAAGCTAGAATAATTTCGAGTACAGAATAAAAGTCATTCACAAATGTATTGTTACTTTTAATATATATGGATATTTTTATATTTAAGTAACACGAAGGTATCCCAGTTTTCATTTGTAAACAGAAGAGCAAGATCATAATAACCCAATATCGAAGTTTAGGTTCACTGGACAACATATACATGCACATACTTGAACTAGAGAGGACATTTAAACGAATAAATGAAACCAATATCGAGCCCTTATTTTTCACAAGAAGAACTTATTTGACAACGAAAATGAAATTTGCTTTCAATTCTACACCAGTTGTCAGTCGGGTTTGCTTACAGAAGGACAATGTTATTCACCTGCAAAAATTAATGAAGTTGCGAGCACTCTCCTTGCACCAGTAGGTCACCTCCTAAACCACTACAATTGTCGATCGATCTATTTAAATATAAGTGCAATAAATAAGCATTACACTGCGATCCATCCAATTTTTCTTCCTAAAAACTTGGCGGATGATAACCCCATAGAAATCAATGGGTTTCGTGCAGAAATAGGATATGAATATAAGCAGATGACGAAATGTCCATAACAGGCTGTAACCAATCCGTAGGTTTTCACAACAGGAAAAATAATGGATATAGGCTACATGGTGATCATACTCAAGAAATTGCTTTCAAAGGATACAGTTTAACAACATCTGTATCCATTCTTCGTTTTCCTGGACTTGGTGATGACATTTTGGGCGAGTATTCCTGCGTCAAAAACTGTTTTACGTCTGTGCCTCAAAATAACAACAATGATGGCGGAGCTGTAAAATCAATGCATGACGATTGGTCACATGATCAAATAAGCCCCTCCTCTACGAGTATTATTTTTTTACAATGCGTTATATTTCTTTTCAAGTGTTTACTCTTCTGCCATTTTATCATGGTTTTATAAACTTTCAATGCATTTTGTTATGACAAACAGATCGAACTCCGTCAAATTTCCAGCACATATCTCGAAAGGTCAAAGGTAATAACCAATGACATTTGTCACGTGACAGGAATGCCACGAGGTCATGATCATCAGCTGAGCGATGTAAACAAAACAATCTCGGTTACGCACTGAATATATATTAGGGTCATTATGTGCACATTCATACATGAACAACTCGTTCATAGGCTTTGATAATGAACGCCGCATTTGCTAACACAGTTCGTTGATAAAAATACGATGACGCGACCATAATCATCAAAGCTGTATTTCCTCCAAAACGGATTTTTTTTATTACACATTGGGGCCAACGTTGTGTTACATGTCTACTGTACGTAAACAAAGGCAATAATTTCTAAGATATTATATAGTTATGGCTCCGGTGAAAGTTGATATGTCATATAATTTGAAGTGTTCAATGTTTGCTTCAAGTTTTGTTAATTGTCTCTGATTCGATAAAACAAAATAGCAATCAAAAAGCGGACGAAATCGATCCTTACTTTGCATCATCATCTTCATCTTCATCTGATATACTTCCTCCGTCGATACCGACGATTACGGAAGTAATTCTAATTTCAAAACACAATATTAAAAACAATTAATGTTAATTGTTACATTATAATTTGCCTGTCCTTGAAAATACCGAAAAATCAGCGGAAATCCGTCTCCAAGTTAGCTGCGGGAACCGCAGCTTCTAGAATCTAGAATCTATGTCCGAATTTTTTTATTGTTATCGGACCATAGATCACAATAGTTGAAGAGTTTAATTGCCTTTCCCGCCCGTCCATGTGTATGTGCGTCCGTATATGGCATTTGTGTGAGACTTTGCTTTCAGCTCCTTTACATCATTGTTCGAAATGTAGGTCACTGCAACCAATATATTTTCCGCGTCACTGACTCTGGTTAGACTTTGCGTTTATAGCTCCATTATCTCTGATACTAGATCTAGAAGTCCTACAGTCATCAATCTTAGTATTGAGATTACATCTTCATGAATGATACACGGTCATGTTACTGTGACCCCCTTTTTTTGCTTTCCGTTTCATTCATTTGGTTAGACTTTTCGTTTAGCACCATTTAGTGATACCACTGTCATCAAACTTTATGTGCACTTACATCCTCATGAGTACTGCACAGTCACGTGACATATGTAGGTCACGGTGACCTTTATTTTACACCTCACTGACTTCAAATTTTCTGATATTTCTAGTCCTATAGTCATGAAACTTTATACACATAACCACGGACTTAGATAATCTAATTCCGTGACGTAACTGATGATTACTTCACCATCATATGACCTTTAGATTCCCTTGACCTATATTTGACTATGCACTGACTCTGGTTAGACTTCGTGTTTAGCTTAATTTTTTCATCAAAGCAGGGGCGGGGCGTATACTGTATGTTTTAGAAACACATTCTAGTCTAAGCAGAGACCTATATGGCTTTATATATATGTCTTTGGTCTAAGTTTGCTACTGAAGTTTGAATGATATTGATATGAAACAATTACTTACATTTCGCTTTTACATCTATACATATTTTATAATACACTCAGTCGCAAGCCTAAGGTATGTGCGCCTTATTAATTATTGCTAAGTTTTCTGTATATTCGACATACAATCTCAGGGGCGTTTCTAGGATATTTGAAAGAGGGCGTAGAATTAAATCTTTGGCCGAGCGCTAAAAAACATAAAATAATTGTCAAATGCACTAATGTAACAGTTCCTGACTTGGAGCATGTATATTTCATAGTTAAAGTGTCAGGGTTTGACATTTTTTATCAGAGTATGTGTTTAATTAATGAATATGATAAATTGCCATATTCAATACAATATAAGCAGATTAGTCCTCACCTGGACCCGCCCCTGTCATATCCAATATTATGACAGTCTGCCTTGTCCTGCACTAGGTCATGATCAGAGGACATTAGAAATCGAGAAGGAGATTTGTTGGAAATCGTCCTTATCCGAGAAGAAATGGTCGGGACCAGAGGGACCTGCGAATTTGTTACAGCTATATTTGGACCTAAACTAATGTGTTCAGAGTAATTTTACATGCTTTAGGGGTTTATATCGACTTAAAGTAAAAATGACACTCCAATTATCATAAATCATGTAAAATTACTCTGAACACCTTATAGGTTTAGGTCCAAATATAGCTGTAACAAATTCTCAGGTCCCTGTGGTCGGGACTTGCTACTGTTGGGTGCATTGCCTGAAACAATGTAGGAGAGCGTGGATCACTACTCGTTTTATCTGTATCGTTTCGTGGACACCATTTTAATTGATGTTTTTTTACGTGTTTTGCACCTTTTGTTCGAATGTGGACCAGTTGGCATGTCTTTAAAAAAAACCCAGCTTAAGCCAGGGGCGGGTCCGGGTGAGGGCGTAATGGGCGTATGCCCCCCCCTNCGTCAGAAACCGTTACATTAGTGCATTGCACAATTATTTTATGTTTTTTTAGCAAAAAAAGGTCCAAAATTGAGGTAGGCCATTGTGATTATATCGATGTTTAAAAAAACCCACATCGTCATGTTTTGTTTAAATTTGAAAATCCTGACAAGATCCAACGTTGTGATGACGGACGAGAAGTAAGTTTATGCTTCTAATAGCTGCCTAAATCTGCGGTGTACCAGAACAGAGACATATAAATGTATACGTCTCCAACCAGAATAAATTTACTGAATATTTCATTGTGTTAATGATTTTAAAGTTAGTAACAAAATGTGAGTGTCAAATATATATCACGACAAATGACAACCCTAGAAAAAGCTAGAGATTACGACCCAACATTTTACACTTGACAGTCTGTGGAGGATATGGTTGATATTACACATAATAGGAATATTTCAACCAACCTCATCATACTGGCTCTATATGTCTCTGATGAAACGAGACCATCGTTTTTGGTCATATGTGACACGATCATAGGGACCTGATAATTTGTTACAGCTATATTTGGACCTAAACTAAGGTGTTTAGAGTAATTTAACACGTTTTTGTGTATGTGTGTGTGAATAAAACTCCATTAAATGATCATTGGGGGTGGCATTTTTTTTACTGAAAATCAATCTAACCCCCCCCCCCCACAACGTGTAAAATTACTCTAAACGCCTTAGTTTAGGTCATAATATAGCTGTAACAAATTCTCACTCAGGTCCATGTGGGCACGATAGTATATAACAGTATACAACAATATATAACAGTTGTGACGTCGTGGAGTACCTTCGCTACAGTTTTCACAAAATATAACAGATTATCATGTACCTATTTTTTTTAACAAAATGTTTATGACACTAGACCCTATAGGCTATACATTTCAAAAGGTATTGATACTATCTATATTTATATATGTATACTTACAAGATCGTTTATAACTTATGCTATACTTTATATCTACAAGTTTTACTTTTTTAACTTCTCGTTTATATCATATAACTACATTACTATCTTTCATACAGACAGAGACGTATAATACGTCTCTAATACAGAGTAATTTATACTTTACGATACCAGAGACTACCTATATGAGATAACCTGTTTTTATCCTAGAGCAAATAACAAAAAAATAACAAAACAATATATCACTCTATATATGCAGGGACGTATATACTGTCCCTGACATAAGTAACGCACTACAGCACAAGACCCACTTCCGTAATCGTCGGTATCGACGGAGGAAGTTAAAAGAGATGAAGATCTAATGGTCCAGTTATTCGAGCGACTGGGTGTTTCTTGCTCAGATGACTTCATGTTATAAAATAACACAAAATAAGACGTGTAAGATATCCATTTAATGAAACAGTAAATGTATTGCCGATTGTAGCAGCTGTTTTCGTAAACAAAAAGCTAACAGGTATCATTAAAGAAAAAATGGCGCGAAAATTCCTTATTCAGCTCAATATAGCTTATCGCCACTAACTCATACACATACATGCTTCTCTAAATAAATAAACAAGAGGATGTCACATCTAACAATTAAAGGTTATTTGCTAGATGGCCTTGTCTTACTAAAATGGTGAATTAAAATCAATCTGCATCAAATCTCTTGTAAAAGTCTAGATGAAACTATTCCCGGTTCTCAGCTTTTCAGAACTCTCCTTAACTTTTTTTCCGGCTTTTGACACGTGCGCGGGAAACATGCGCAGAACGGATACTGATGGTGGTTGGAAGATTTCGTGAATTCGATTGGTAGGTTTTCTGGTAAGTAGGATGTACTTTCGCAAGAGCACCATGAAACTGCACAAATAGTATGTCCACTTAGTTTAGTATCAAATAACCTAGAAAAATTGCTAAATAACATATTCGTGCAAGATATCGTCACCCCCTCAGCAATATGCTCACTACAGATCGGAAACTTTTCATCTTTTCAAAGTGAAACTGGGCAGCTGAGCCCAAGTAACAGTTAATACACTTCTGCGTGTCTGAAAATGAATTGCTTAGGTTACTGGTACGAAATTGGCCATTTTCACTTAAATTGATACACTGTCACACTGTCGAGTTAACACGAATCGGTTGACAGATCCTTGTTTAGAACTGACCGTCGTGGGTTGGGCTTGACTGCATATGGAACCTTAGATGGGTCACTGGTTCGTGTATTCTCGATAATCAATGACAATCCTAAACACACTGATGGTTAGGGCCTACTATACTACTGTAGCAACAACCATTTACTGTAAACATGTACCTAGCCGACATTGTTATGCAATCAAAAAACTTGAAACAGTAGTGTTCTCATCAACACATATAAGGGGTTAATTCTCGGTAAGTAAATCAAACAAATTTGCAAATTACATGTTAGATTTCAAAAAGACATATTCAAACTGATAATTTTGATTTGTAATAAGTTTTGTTATGTAATTAATTCTAAAAGCATCTTGTTTCAAAGCATATATGAGAGTAGATATCTTTTTAGTCTTGATGTAATTTGCTTAATTTTCTAACATAAAAAATCACAGAGCCTACCATCTCATATTATGTAATATATGATTAAAGCATTCATTATTCAAGTATCTTCTGGGGTTTAAAATTAGGCGATGAAGAAATTGTTAGTAGACAAAAATTTAAAAGAAGTTGAGATCAAGTGAAAAAATCCGGACTTCTAAAATTTTCTCTTTGAAAGTAATTATTAATTCTCATTTTTTTGGTGTACAGATGCTGTAGCAAAGGCCTTGGTGTGCTGTCACTTTGCAGAAAACAAGCTTATGGACAGTAAGTGTTGGCTAAAGCAAAAATAACAAAAAGAAATGTGTTAGTTTTTTGGCTGTAAAAATGAAATTACACCTATTGAATGTATCATTTCCTAAGTTAGACCTTAAGTTACCTTGCAGGGGTGTACAATTGTAGGTTAAAGATTACTTATAACCCAGAGGCGGATCAAAGGGAGGTCAAAACGAAAGTACAAAATGTAAGTTTGAAAACTGGCCGTGGTACAGATTTTCCGGCATCTGCACACAATATCAAGATAAGTAAACACAAATTATTAAATGATGCAAATAACACTTACAAATAAAATACATCACATTTAGATGTGACAAATATTAAGCAGGGTGCCACAATGACAAATAGGGTTCAGACCACATTTTTCGCAAGATAAACTGGAAATCTGGAATGTTGACGCCCATGTGTACATGTGTATATTGCCATAAAGGTTATGTTAACCCAACCAAAGCAATGTGAGTAGCCCACCATAGGATGATGTTTGGCTAGTCAAATAACTTTTCGTCCATGGTCTTGCATTTGCCTGTCAGTCTGGAAACACTTTTTGTTACCACTATTTCCCAGAAGTGATAACATAAGGATAGTGGTGAAACTTGGAATGCATGCTACTTCTTGGTCCATAGTTGTGCATGCCTGTCTAGCTTGTTATCCCAATTCCTCAGGAACTAATGAAGGTGTCATGAAAAAACTTATTACTTTATTCCATTTGTGATGGGCTAGAAAAACAAAACGGTCACAGACAGCCATCTTGGATTTAATAGCATGTGAAGTCTGTTACCACTATTTCTCACGAACCACTGAGGATGTCATTACTTGGTATTCATGATTTCCGAAGTACAATGATTGTGCATGCTCAAATTTATGATTGGTCAGAGAAGCAAAATGACTGCCAGACAACAATCTTGAAGTTGCTTGTCAAGCTTTATATTGATATTTCTTATGAACAACTGAAGATATCATGACCAAATATGGTGTATATTTCCCCTTGGTTCACCTTTCACTTTCCTATTTTCACTTGTTTTGAAATATGGCCGAGTCTGGAAAAAATGTCATGTGGCCATCTTGGATTTTATATAGATTTTATTATTATATGCAAAGTTTGTTACTGCGATTTCTAGGAAAAGAACTAAAGAGGTCATGACGAACGTTGTATGCATGATCCTTTTGGTCCATAGTTGTACCTGTTTGGCTAGTAGAATGGAAAACCCCTGAACAAGGTCACCTATAATCCCAATAGGAAAAGAATAATAACCTTAGTCTGAACAATTCTATGATGGCTTTTTCTACCATCCTTCAGAGGTGTGTCTCCCATTATAGCCGGGAAAGATCAGCTTGTCATCCCCTAGGGGGAGATAGGCTCGTGCCGATAAGCACATGTTCAATTGTGACATCATTAAAATGGGTCATCGGTAATTGTGACGTCATCAAAAGGGAATGACGATCTTCATATCCCACATGTGTTTTTGTTTACACTACTGTCTGTGAAGTTGTGACCGAAATAATAGGATGGGAGAAAAACAATCATACCCTACCTTGAGGGTGTGATAGAAAATCGCCAACCCTCTGGGTGTTTTAATGCCCCCGCCATAAAATGGGGGGGCATATAATGCTGCCCATGTCCGTCCCGTCCTGTCCCGATTCAATGTAAACACTTAGCAACTTCATTCTTTGACAGATTTTGGTCAAACTTTAACTTCATTCTTTGACAGATTTTGGTCAAACTTTATACAAAGATCAAGTAGGAGTATACTTTGGACATTGTTGTGTTTCAGGGATCCAAGGTCAAGCTAAGGTCACACTTTCTATATATATAGAAAATCATCAACTGATTCAATTTAAACACTTAGCAACTTCATTCTTTCATGGATTTTGGTCAAACTCTATGCAAAGGTCAAGTATGAGTATATTTTGGACACTGTTGTGTTTCAGGGTTCCAAGGTCAAGGCCAAGGTCACTGTTGCTATATATAGAAAATCATCAACTGATTCAATTTAAACACTTAGCAACTTCATTCAATATGTTATGGAGATGATAATAACATACAGGAAAAAAATATGAATATTAAAATCAACTTATCAACTTTTAGTGTAGTACCTTGTGTGTGTGCATATTTCAGGGTATCAAGATCTAAGTTGTTGTAACTTTTTATAGAACACTGAAACTAATTTCACATGACAGCGGGGGCATTTATCTCTTACAGACATTTTCTAGTTTTTGGTTGTCTAACCCTCGGCAGGGCCTTAGCCGAGGGTTAGACAACCAAAAAAATCACCCAGAGGGTTGGAGATTTCTCTGTCGCATCCTCACGGTAGGGGAAGGTTCTATTAATCAGTGACCTCAATATCTCATTTCCACTGTCTCTGCTTTGTTAACGGTCTTCAAGAAAATGATTAAAATGTATTGATCAAAACCAAATTGACTCAATGATTCAATAGTTTCCTGATGATTTTGGTAGTTCCCACAGAAAAAGGTAAACAATAATAAATATAGTGATTATGTTAAACTGTCATTTGTCTAGCTAATTCTTTTACAACCTATAGTTGTTTCAGATCACATCCTATTGCAGTTGGAAAAACTGAATGCTTTTCAAGTTGAGTCAATAGCTTAAGTGAGCTTTTAAGATCCATATTTAGCCCACCATCTGATCATGATAATGGTGGGCCGATCAGATTGCTCTTTAATGATTGCCTAATTCATCATTTGTCTGTCCTTAAACATTTCTTGTTATTGCTCTTTCTCAAGAAGGTATCATGCAGATATTTCTCAAATTTTATACGAAGGTCCCTTTGATCCATAGTTGTGCATGTTTTATTTTGAGACTGATTCGAAAAACATGATGGCCATGAGTCGATAGCCATCTTTGATTTTGGCAGTTCAAAATTGTTGTGGCTCTTTTTCAAGAAGTACTTGCAAATTGACAGACTTCTTTTCTCAGTTTTCATATTTAGAATCCTCCTGGTCCATAGTTATGCCCCCGCAACGAAGTTAGGGAGGTATACTGGAATCAGCTTGTCTGTCTGTCTGTCCGTAGAATTTTTTTGTCGTCCAGACAACTCCTTATAAAGTAATGGGCCAATTTCAACACAAAATTCAGTTATGATAACTATCCCCTCATGTGGTGTGTCCCTTTTTAATGGAGTAATGGCCTTTTGTTGAAAATTCCTTTTCCGGACAACTCCTAAAAAATTACTGGGTCAATTTCATCGAAAGTTCTCCGATATCATTACTACCCCCTGATGTTGTGCATTTAGGTATTATTTTTGGTATCAAATGTTTGCAATATTAAAAGTGACAATTAATTGGGAAAATGGAACTTAATTACAGCCAAAGCCCTTGTTTGTTTGGAGACAAATGTCAACCCGTATTTTTTAGAATGAAGATAGCTCCACGTTGATGATATGAAATCTGAAATTGTACATCGTGAAATTTGTATCCAGAGCTTTGAACTCTCCCTGCAAAGGTTATCCTTTAGGTAGGTAACTTGTATTTCAATTACTGTCTGAATGGGGTGCTTCTGATAACATCATTTTCTATGTAATGAGTTGGCACTAGCCACTTCCTTATTAATCCTTCTGCACATTTGAACCTTATCACATGGTTAAGAATATAAGCAAAGGGATGCAATCCCAATCAACCTGTTACGGTTACAAGAAACAAAGGTTCCTAAATTTTAAATATTGCAATGAAGCCAGTTTTCCAATTTCAACGTGTGTCCAACAGATTATTCAGTTTTCTTAAGCAATGAATGATGGTTTTAGGTTAATACCAGAGCCAAATGTTCAAGTGACATTTTGCAATTTTGCAATCAGTCCTCGTTACACTTCATCATGCTTAAACAATATTGCTAACAGGATTTCAACTTGATAGGAATGTTCAGTATAGGGTCCTGACAACGTGTTATTTTTCTGGTCAGTCAGATATCCAAGAAAGGCACCCTGATGGCCATCTTGAAAATCTATTTCAAGCTTAATCTCTAGTTTGCTGCGAGCATTTCAATAAAACTTCCCAGGACTGTTAATTTAAGAACATGAACCTGACATAGTGTTGCTATTTTTCATGTCAGTCGGAAATCCAATATGGCTTCCATGATCACCACCATCTTAAAAAACTATCTTAAACTTAAGCAAGATATAATGAGCAGATGTAACGGAAATTTGGTAGAGACAATCAACTTATGGTCCTGAAAATGAATTATTCGTTTTCAGGATGATTAAACTAAACAAAGATCAAACAGTAACCTTTGATTTGTTTTTTGAAACTTATTCCAGGTACAAAATCAGGTTCTACAGGGCTAGTTTTGCTCACACTTGTTAGAGCTCATGAACTTGTGCTATAGTTCACGATGATTGGAAGTCTAATATACCTGCCATGGTCACCATATTGAAAATCTATTTTAAGTTTTTACTTAAATTCTCCTGTCCTAATTTTGCTCTTACTTCGTGGAGATGATTAATAGATAGATATTTAATTTTGAGTCTAAAAATATCCCATAGGCCAAGGGACCACATCCAAGGGTCAAATTTCAACATATCCATCAGTCACTATTAAGTAACTGATTCAGATGAAAGGGAAATAACTCTTTTAAGTCTAATAGGTTTCACTATCAATGTATGGTAACAATGATTTTACCAACTGCAGACTAGAAGACAGCCCATGACTGGCCTGTATCTCACTTGAATAAGATTCTATTCTCTCAAGTTATTTTAGACCCTAAAGACTTTTGTTTGTTGTTACATTTCAATATTTATATGTAATATTTCTAGCAGGATTTGAGGTTGATACTTAAAACTGCTTAAAAAAAGTTTGAAATTTATTCTCCGAAATTTGTTTTAAAAGTGCTGTTGTTGAAACCTGGTGGTTCAAAATATATATCGAAATCAGGTTAGACCCAGTCCAAAAATTACTGCAGCATCCTTATAAAGGGGTATCATGTTATATGTTTATACATTCAACTAACAAAAATGTAGCTGACTTTTCTCGCATACCTTGGCAGAGTGAAACAGAGCAGGAGGTGTAAGATATCTGTCATCTGTTGGCATGGTTTTGTGACTTCACATTGAAATAGTGGAACAACTTTTGGAATAAGATTCATCAGTTTGGTATGCATAATAAATGCTAAGTTTGTTTTAAACAAAAACAGTAATTGAAAACTTAGTTTTGCGAGCTTTTGAAAACGTCTGTTTCTTATGTCAAGGAAAGGAGTGTAAATGATTTGTATCTCGACTCCATATATCTTTCTTATATAATTACCATCATGATATCCTTTGAAACATTCTCACAGATGTTCAGTACTGTAGTGCTCATATATTATCAAAATTGATTAAAACTTCAACCCATATTAAACAATTGGTACTTGAATAAGTTTACATCTAAGGGTTTTAAACCCTAGGTCAAGGTCAATGCTGCTATGGTTTAAAAAAGATATACAATGATCACCCTACAATCTTGACTCAATTTTCAGACTTAGCTCAATTTTCAGTCAGAATTAGATGAAAGTTGATAGGATAGTATATATACATGCACTGGAATACTTTGAGTTTTGGGTCCTGTATACTGAAACCTAGGTCAAGGTCACTGTAACTAGAATTTCAAATAGAAAATATTTCACTGGCATTCTCATCTTCATTTAAACTAATGAAATTTCATCAAGTTGCTCACTACTATTTGATTCAACAAGTACAGGATATTGAGTCATAGGTCAAAGTCACTTACTGTATTTGTAAAAAATAGTTTGAGTTTAGTTCTTGTTCATAAATAAAGTACTGTTGGTGTCTTTTTAGAGAAAATTAAGTACTGTCAAGTATTATGCAGGTTATGGGGGTAAGGCTTGGTTTTAACTCCATCTTGTACACTCTGTTGGAATTTCTATATTTAAACACCTACACCTGAGAAGAGTATCCAACATTTGTTCTGTCTATTGCAGGTCAAGATGAGCTTTGCTGTGCCCATACGGTCAAAGAGAGAGCCAGGAAGGAGAGCTGGTGGATTGGCTCGCATATTTATGCAGTCTATGAAGGAGATCAAGCAGAACAAACCAGTTAGAATTTCAAATAAAGAACCAGCCAACAATCCAACCAGTGTTTCTGAGGCTCTCCCACACAATGTCCCAAAAAACCTTCATGTGGCGAATGAGAAAACAGAGTCTGTAACAGTCGAAAAACCGCCGCCATCATCATCATCATCACACGATGTATTGGCCTCGCATGTTGTACATGGTGGCCATAGAGAACATCCTACAAAGAGAACGGAAACTAAAATTTCAGAATGTGATAAAGTACCTTCGTCAACTCAAGTGGGGTATAACTTAAATGGACAACAGGAGTCAAGTTTGCCAGTAGGCAGACCGATGACGGAACGGGATGTCCAAGGGAAAGACGCCACTAACAATACAGTCAGCAGAACATCGGTCCAGGAAACTGCAACGGTAGTCAAGTCTGAGAAGAGTGCGTTATGTGAATCGGCAGTAAATCATGTGTCAAATGCTTCTGTGATTATGGACAAGGAGGTTGATTCTGTAGGAGTTCAAAACATATCCAATAAAAGAGACGTTTTTAAATCCAGCAGATTTGTAGCATCACATGGAACCACAAACCGAAGTCGCCAAGAGAAAAACTCAATTTTTAACAAACCTCTGCCCAGACGGTATAGCCAAAGAAGACACACAAACAACTCTAGAGAGAGGGTGGTAGAGAAAGTGGAGCCAGAAGATTGGAGCTCTGATCTTCTGGAGATTGAGATCGAAGAAGGATGTTTTTATGATTCAAATGAGACTGAAAAGAGTAGTGGGGTTTCTGTCGGGTGTACTAAACATGAAGGTAAATTAAACATGGGACAAAATGATAAGCTTGTTAAGGACGAAAAAGAAAGTGTAAAACGTGGAAATCAAGAAGGCGAGGAAGAATCGGAGGCTGAGAGTAAGAGAGATCAACGGGAATGTAATACACATGGCAAGGATACAGAAATAAATTGTCTGACAAATGCTGATAAAAAAACAACTGAAGAAAAAAATAAAGTGAATTTAGAAACGGAACTGAATGAAGATAAACCACATGAAAACAGGCAAATTTCAAAGAAGTCTTTGGAAACGGATGTTATTGTTGTGAAAAGTTCTGAAACTAAAAGGATTGTTGGTAAATATTTGGACAAAGAGCAGACCTGTGGAAATAATTTCGGAAATGAATCTTTAAGTGGTAAAACCTTGGACATATCAACACAAACGTTTGACACCAAACAGCTTAAAGATAAAACTGCTGCAAGGGAAGATACTGTTTTCAACAGTATAGACAAAGAACAGATTGTTCCGGAAATAAGGGATTGTGAGATTGAACAGATTGTTCCGGAAATAAGGGATTGTGAGATTGAACAAGATTCAGAAAAAGAGAAGGAGAAAGATTTGTACACAGGATGTGATGCTTACAAGAGGAAAGCTGATTCTGAAAGTAGAAACATTGGGGTAAAGACTGAAGATGAATGTGAAACAGAAACGTCTGAAAAATTAGAAACAACAGGCTCCTCACTTGTGAGATCAGAGGAAACAACAGGCTCCTTACTTGTGAGATCAGAGAAAAACACGATGGAACAATCTGAGAATGTTGTTTCGAGGAATGAGGAAAAAATTCATTTCACAAAGGAACAACAGTCTGAAATGGAAGATAAACAAAAGTGTGAACCAGTAAATGGTGGCGAAAAACAGGAAATACAGGACTGTAGGAAGGAGGAGTATGACCAGAAACAATCTTTGACATGCTCTGGTAATCTGGAGAACATGAGCATGGAAAATGATGAACGAGAATATATGAGAATGGAGATTCCCCCCCTTCGTGTGCCTGTGTGTGATATTCCAGCTTATTATAATAGACGAAGAAACTCGGGTACATTATCCGACACAAGCAATGCCTCACATTCATCTTCTTCCCAGAAAATTCCAAGCAAGGACATTGGATGTTGTAACAGTTGGGAAAGTAAGACTGCTCCAATTCCAAGTTTACTAAGTATAAAGTCTTCGCCTTGGCGAGACTATTCCTCAGCTAGTTCCGATAGCTCTTCAGTAGCTAGGAGCTCGAGGCCAAGACCAAAGAAACCAAAGAAAAAGTCCAAATATACCAAGAGCATCGCCAGAGGACATACATTAACTGTATCTCCCATACAAAGGTCTCCAAGTGGATCTCCAACCTCTCATAAGAACATCAGGGGGAGACAATCAGGGACTGACACGAAAACTACATATAATAGCTTGATTAACTCAAAGGTCCAGGCATTGTCAGTAGAAATGAAGGCTAAGGTATTGACCCCACCTGACAGCGATGGAAGGACAATGATGGCCAAGCCAGTAATGTACAGAGACAGCCTACGAGCCATGAAACAGGTCAGGGTGAAGGCCGGGCTGAAAAACCCTTCAGCTCGTCAGGTTCGTTCTGAACAGAGTAAAAAGGAAACTTCAAAAATGGAGCCCATTATCATTGCCCAGGTCAGTTCAGAGCCTAAGAGACTGGACAATTCTGCATCCAAGTACACAGAACGTCGTCAGAGAAATTATTCTGAATCATCAAAGGATGAAAGTTCAGATTCCATAAGACATGGCAAGTCCAAACCTATCATTATTCCACAAGTCAGTTCTGAGCCAGCAACAGAGGAAATCAGGAAATCCATAGGAGATGATACGTGGCAACATACAATTATACCACAAGTTAGTTCTGAGTCAGCAACAGAGGAAATCAGGAAATCCATAGCAGATAATACGTGGCAACATACAATCATACCACAAGTTAGTTCTGAGCCTAAATTTCGAGACAATTCTGAATCTACTGGTAACACTTCTTTAGAGAAGGCAGGTAAAATAAAGTCAGATTCTCGGATACAAGACAGTCCGGACTTCAGAAATCACCATCATTCAGGATCCACAACAGATGGAAGGTTAAGATCAGGATTTCAAATCTATTCAGAACAGACAGTGAATCAGGAGGGTAAGTCAGAATCAACTAGAGTTGTTCTCAATACCCAAGAGTCTACACCTATACAACATGGAGATAATGCATGTAAATTGAAACAATCTCCAGAGTTTAAGGATCAGAACCATATGGAGCTTGAACACAAGGAACCTCCGGAATCTGTTGAACATCTCAATCAGGAAGCTAGAAATTCAGGAAGGTCTGAGGATATCTGTAACGAAAAATCTGGACAAGCAGAAACTTCACAACATGAGGATCTCTGTAATCAGAAAGTCAGACATTCAGAAACTTCACAACATGAGGATATCTGTAATCAGAAAGTCAGACATTCAGAAACTTCACAGCCAGAGGATCACCTTAATCAGGAATCTAGCAATCCAGAATCTCAAAATTTGGATGTGTCAGATTCTAGGGATTGTGATTTAAAAAGTTGTGATAATCCCAAATTTGGAATAAAGGGTACCACAAACCTTATACAGCAGGAGAGGTCATTTAAAGGTCACAACAGCTCAGAACATGTAAGGCAGGAAAAGTCATCCCGAGGTCACAGCAGTTCAAAATCTGTAAGGCAGGACAAATCATTTCAAGGTCGCAATATCTCATGCGAAGGTCACAACAGTTCAGAACAAAGAACGCAGGAAAGTTCATCCCGAGGTCACAGTAGTTCAAAATCTGTAAAACAGGACAATTCATCCCATGGTCACAGCAGTACAGAACCTAGAAGGCAGGACAAACCATTCCAAGATCACACAAGTCCACAGCCTCTAAGACAGAACAACTCATCTGGAGGTCACAGCATTTCAGAATCTATAAGGAACATCAACTCATGCAAAGGTCACAACAGGTCACAGTCTTCAAGACAGAATTACTCGTCCAGTCATCATAACAGGTTGAAACCTACACAGCAGGACAAATCCTTCAGTACTCATAACAGTTCAGAACCTTTGAGGAAGGACAACTCGTCCACAACTGATAACAGATCAGAACCTACAAGGCAAGACAACTCGTCCTCAACTGATAACAGATCAGAACCTTCAAGGCAAGACAACTCGTCCACAACTGATAACACATCAAAACCTTCAAGGCAAGACAACTCGTCCACAACTGATAACAGATCAGAACCTACAAGGCAAGACAACTCGTCCTCAACTGATAACAGATCAGAACCTTCAAGGCAAGACAACTCGTCCACAAGTGATAACAGATCAGAACCAATAAGACATGACAAGTCGTCCCAAGATCACACCAGGTCGAGACTTGGACACGAGAACGATTCATCACAAAGTCATCGGAGTTCAGAAAGTAGAATATATAGAAGTTCAGAATCGAGAGATCAGAATCGTTCACAGCATGGCAAGTATTGTTATGCAGAACATAGTTCATATCACCAAGATCGTTCAGGATCCAGATGTTTCCACAATGACTTAGGGTCTAGTAGAATAGTCCATTCAGAACCAAAGGGCACCAACTCCACTCACTGGGAATCAGTTTCCTGTACTACACTGAAAAGACAGAATAGTTCAGAGAGCCGAGGTAACATAGGTTCAGAGAGCCGAGGTAACATAGGTTCAGAGAGCCGAGGTAACATAGGTTCAGAAAAAGAACAGGGGTCGAAGAAGCCAGTCAGTTCAGATCCAAAGCAGCCTGGACACAGCAGTATGGAACACAAATATCAAAAATCACAGAAGAAACTTGGAGAAAACCTGAAGGTCAATCACAAATATGACAGAGAAGCAAATGACAGCAAGCAAGTAGAGAGTTCAGAATATGAGAATTGGGATACGGATCTGTTGCCGGTGGTCACACCTCCTGGTAGTAGTATTAACCCCTCTGATGACGGAGTGAAGTTTACCAAGGAGGGTGTGTCGGCAACAAATGTAAGCATGCTTACATCAGAAAGTAGGACAGAGAATGCAAGTGACAAAAAACTGGAGAAGTTAGAGGTAAAAGAGGAAAATGAGAAGGGCACAGTTCTAAAATTTGAAACTTCTGATGGACCGGCTATCAGGATCAAAGAACATGTTATGGATGTTAATTCTTTTTCTGGACAATGTGGGAAGGACACTCATAACCAGTCCTTACAGTATAAAACTGACCAACAGCAAGAAAACAAACGCAGCGAAGCAAACCGTGACATAAAACATCAAGCTGGTCAACACAATTCTAGATCTTTCTGGCTAGACTACAAAACAAATTCTGTGACATTCCGTGATGTGAGAAATTATGGGACATATCACGGACAAGTGAATGGCCATGGTACAGATGCAGATCAAAAAAACGCAGTGTGCAAAACCTGTGGTCGATCACAGTTCAAGTCCTCTTCAAATACTCAGCATAACTGTACCTGTCAAAGGACTTCTTCTGTTCCCAAAGGAGGACATGTAACACTGAACAGGGATAGTCCCAACACTGTATGGTATCCCTCTTCTAAACAACATTGTAAATCTACCTGTCAACAGGAAAATTATGGCTGCGGCATGGAGCAAAATCAGAAGAAGAGTGATTATCGGAAAGATATGAATAGAATAGAGGATAATGGAACATCAGGTAGAAGGTTAACCTGTAGCAGTAAAAATGAGCACCATTTGAATGTTGATCTGAAATCATCACAGATTACAGAAAATGGGGATAAAGACCTGGAAAAGGTGTTGGTTGTTCAACCAATGCACACCTCAGGTAACCATACTCGGAATGAGTGGAATAGGATTGGTGACCAAAGGAAAAATTATGAGAGGAAGTTCAAGTGCCACTGGTTTGATTCTGATAGACAACAGAACCCAGTATTGGATGAACCAGAAGAAAACTGGGACTCACATCTGTTGGATATTGAAGGTATACTGAAAACTCAGGAAAAGACTGAAACTATGGAACAAGTTGTACCTGGTGAGCAGGAGTTTAAGAAGACAAGTCTATATAGCAACAATAACCCAACTGGGAAACCTCCAGAAGGTGGCTCACATACTCGGCACCAACTTGAAGAATGGGATTCAACTTTATTAGATTTAAACCTTATTGGTACTTCTGTTTTAGAACACGAAGACAACAAGATCATTAGTGAAGAAGAGATTTTGGCTGAAAAGCCCATCAACAATGAATGGTGTGAAGTCCAGACTTGTGGGGATAGTGTCAGTAAGGTCAGGTCAGGTCTATCATCGGACAGTGTGACGTCTGGATGTTTAAAAAATGTCGAAGAAGAAGACGGATCTATTATTCCACAGTCTGATAGCAGTTTGAGTGGAATACAAGAAACTTCAGAGTTTGAGGACGTTTGCACCAGTGATGATGTAATGGAGTCTTATGTCTTTTTAAGTCAGGAGGAATGTTGTGCCCACGATGTTCCATTAGACTCCACATCCTGCACCCAAACATCAACAGACCTAGAAATGGAGAAACTGTATCACAAACCACAAACCTCTCCTGGGACATACCGACCCCCTGTGTTCTCTCGGGTTGATAACACAATGTATGCAAGACATTCTGATGTGGATTTCAGAGCAGTCGAAAACGATTGTAGACATAGACCGGACCTAAAGCAGGAGAAAGGAAGTCCCCCAGGCTATGGCCCAAAGGAGTGCGTGTGTCCACCTGGTTGTGTCCAGTTCTGGACCTGGAGATGTTGCTTTTGTCATTGGGGATGGGAACCTCGTATTTGTGATGTTCGCTCAGCACTCGACTACTCAGATAACTTCACTTCCCAATCAACAGAGGATAAAGGTAAAAGTCTTTTAGACTTCAAACTTCAGAACTTAACAATTAGTTTATTGTATTCATGGGCTGATTAATGCCTTTGAAAATTGAATGCACTTCGAAACTTGCAAATGAAAAGTGTCTTAAATTCTTGAATACTGTACCTGAGTTTGTTTCACCATGTGTTTAAAAAATTCCAAATAAATTAAGTAAAAACTGTTTATCATATTTGTATTAGTGAGCTCTGGAATAGATCTTGTGACTTCGCTGTATATTCATACAGGTAGTGACCTGGAACGTAAGCCAAATAATGACAATGCGAGTCACATCGCTTCAATACATGAGCAGATTCTGTTTTGGGAAATACGTTATCAACATATAGGTCATCTAAGGTTGAAAACGCTATAAACAATCCTGTTTTCATCTCGATCACAGAATTCATGATCAGTAGTCATTGACATGGGTATGTCACAATATCAAGTTATAATTTGCTGTGCCTCTTGTTTGTAAAGAGCTCCCTATAACAGTGTGAGGATGATATTTCAAAGATTTCTTGAGGATGTGATATGTTACTAAAAAAACAAATATTACAAATTCTTCATTAAAATGACTTATGAAGTCATACTTCAAAATGAAATCTTGATTTTCAGAGATAACAAAGTCCATGGTTTTAAATGTTTACTTTAATTTCTCCCAATATAACAAATTTTGACAGTGATCAAGACAAATAATGTTTTATGTACGTTCTTACTTTTCTTCTCTGTTTTTCAGACTCCACTGAAAATGGAATACGTATGCACTACAGTCCCCGAGGGTTACTGGCCACGAGATCGAACAGTGTGATCCCTCCCCCTCCTAGCAGGGAGCTGTGGAACCAGATGCAGCAAGGAACTGCCCCAGTGAACTCTTTCTCCCCTAGGGGCACAGGTCCCCATGCCTCCCCTGCAAACATGCCCCAGACCAGAAAACCTTTTCCAAGGATTCAGTACCCGGGGTCCTACCCCTACCCTCCAGAATGTGGCTCACAGCCTCAACAGGTCATGTCCTATGGTATGCGACATTGCAGTCCGTATAGACTACAGTTCAGACCATCTTCACCACTTAATGACGCAGTATCCGTAGAGCAGAACATAGTTGGAGGAAAATCAATCTACAATAGGGAGTCGACGGGATGTGTGTCTTTTGTGTCCAGAGATGACGCCAAGAAGAAACGTGGTGAGTTAGGAAAACCTCCGAACCTGATGGACTGTAGCACAGGGTTAACGAGTGCAAAGGAAGGGGTGAGCGCAGATGAAATGCAAGATTTGCAGCTCAACAGCCCAAAGCTTGTAGACTACGGTTTTAGCGAGACAGATGATTCTGAAGAAGAAAAGAAAGATCAGCTTGCAAAGTCGAGAGTTGCTCTGTTTGGGAAAGATGACCAGTCTCAAGACAGCGACTGCTCTAGTGAGAAACGGAAACTAGATGTGGAGGAACAGGAACTAAATGATGATGAGGACTGCAGTGTTGGGCACAAGAGGAGGCATGTGTTACCTCGAAACAACATCTATCATTTCATAAGGCACTCACTGAACACTAAAGAAAATGAGAAAGACGATGACAAAAAAGCTACCGCGTATGTTCCACCACACAGACGCCAAAAGATTACTTTGACAGATGGTCCTGAGAGCGACAGCCAGAGAGCAAAGGAAAACGAGAGAAAAACACCTAAAAATTCATCATCAAACTACAAGCATTCAGAGGTTTCATCTTCAGCAAGTGAGCAGAGTTCATCTAGCCCAGGGTCCTACCCCTGGGCACCGTTCTGGGCGAGCCCTCCTCCCCCAGCAATGGGTATGTCCGTATCACCTCTGTTTGGCCATCATCAGCCACCATGTATGTACCCCCCAAGCTGCTACTTTTCTCCACCAAACTGGTACCAAGCTGGCTCAGGCACTGACTCCTATGGAGGTGCCTACCATCAGCCTAATAATCATTCACCCTCTACAAACGCTTCAGATGTGAAATCTCCAACAACTCCACATCCAACCAAAGAAAGCATCCCTGAGCTGTCAAAACTGCAAGCCCACCGAAAAAGTCCTGAACGTCTAGTGCTGCCACCAAGGATAAAGTTTTTAGAGAGGACACGCCTGCTCGGCAGCAACACGGATTCAGAGAGCAGCTCATCTTTTCATCTGGTTGACTGGAAGGCGAACTTCAAGGAGAAATGTAGGAGCTACTGTGGCACATTTATTGACTCACACTGCCATCTGGATTTCCTGTTCAACCGCCAAGGGTTCAGAGGCACCTGGTCCAAGTACAAGATTGTACACGAGGCTACCATGCCTGACTGTTTTGAAGGGTGTGTGGCAGTCTTCTGTCACCCTGGCAGCTTCCGACAAGAAGGTAGGTATTTATTTAGGTACATACCAGCAGTATAGAGTATTGTGTACATGCAAGGTTAATTTCGCGGCAGGGCAACTTTTGTGATTGTTAGGAGCAAGATGAATTTGTAAATAACTCTTACCATGTAACACATATACAACACTCCAAACAGTAGATTCTGCATTGTTTACATTAAATCGTCTAATTCGAACTCGCTCTACGTTCACTCTGTGGATGTTTCGTTTATCATTCTAACACAATTTAGTTAGTTAAATGTCGGGTTGAAATTGAACATAATTTTACAATTTCATTGATAAGAAAATGTTTGATAGATTGTGATTGACATAATGGAGTAGAAATTTGCTGACTTTTAAAAAAAAAAGTATTAAAAACTGTTTTGTGTTGATTTTGTCATGTACTCATCCTTGTAATGGACGGCCAGTTCATACTTATCTACATTGTTCACTGTCAGGGTTGTGGAAGGAGATTGCCCTTGAGGAGGATGTCTGGTTAGCATTTGGATGTCACCCAAAGAATGCCACCGAGTTCTCACCCCGGGCTGAGGAGGGCCTGATCCGCTGTCTACAGCACAAGAGAGTGGTGGCTCTGGGAGAAATCGGTCTAGATTACTCTGGCATGTAAGTATAGGACTGTCACTTTATAGCAAGTTTAGGTAACAGTTAGTTTGGGTAATTTTTAGCTCACCTGGCCCAAAGGGCCAAGTGAGCTTATGGCATGGTGCGGCGTCCGTCGTCTGTCCGTCGTCAACATTTTACTTTAAACAACTTCTTCTCAGTAACCAAAAGGCCTAGGGTGATGATATTTGGCCAGAAGCATGCTGGGATGAAGGGCTACAAAGTTTGTTTGAATAAATGACCTTGACTTATATTCAAGGTCACGGGTCAAATATGTTTAAAACCTTTCCAACAACTTCTTCTGCATAACCAAGAGGCCTAGGGTGCCTAAATTTGGCCAGTAACATGCTGGGTTAAAGGGCTACCAAGTTTGTTCAAATAAATGACCTTGGTTTATATTCAAGGTCACAGGGGTCAAATATGTTTAAAACCTTTCAACAACTTCTTCTGAATAACCAAGAGGCCTAGGGTGATGAGATTTGTCCAGTAACATGCTGGGTCGAAGAGCTACCAGGTTTGTTCAAATAAATGACCTTGACTTATATTAAAGGTCACAGGGGTCAAATATGTTCAAAACATTTAAACAACCTCTTCTGAATAACCAAGAGGCATAAGGTGATGATATTCGGCCAGTAACATGCTGGGATAAATGGCTACCAAGTTTGTTCTAATAAATTACCTTGATTTATATTCAAGGTCACATGGGTCAAATATGTTCAAAACATTTAAACAACTTCTGAATAACCAAGAGGCCTAAGGTGATGATATTTGGCCAGTAGCATGCTGGGATGAAGGGCTACCAAGTTTGTTCAAATGAATGACCTTGACCAAATTTCAAGGTCACATGTGTCAAATGTCTTAAAATCTTTAAACAACTTCTTCTGAATAACAAAAAGGCCCAGGGTACTGATGTTTGGCCTGTAGCAATCAGGGCTACCAAATTTGTTCAAATTAATTATCTTGACCCGCTTTCAACCTAATGTCATTGTTTGACATTCAAGGTCACACTGATGTTCTGCCTGTAGCTGTAATTTAGTCCACTTTTAAGTTTACAAGTGTGAGATTAATACCAGGTGAGCGATGCAGGCCCATTGGGCCTCTTGTTTACTGTCAGTGTTTTATACTACAATGAGCATATGATCATTTAATATATAGCTTTCTCGCAATAGGTTATAAAAGAAGGATTGTTGTCGTCATGTTTTATTTGCATAAAGAGCAATACCTTCAATCATTAATCAGCCAAAACATGTTGTTTTCAGAATGTCTAGTTAAATTTGTGTTAGTAAGTCTGTTAATATTGTTAATCTTAGATTTAAACAACATAAAACCTCTCAGAAGATTGTGTTTATCAAACAAATCCAACTTGCTCTCGAGATGAACAAACCACTTGTGATACACTGTCGAGAGGCAGAGGAAGATGCCTTGCAGATTTTAGAAGAGGTTTGTATTTTTCTTTTAAGACCTTTTTTCGATAAAATAAGTCTTTTGAACTGTAATTTTTTTTAACTGATGTGGTTCAAACAAGTATGTGTTGCTTTATAAAGAATCAAAAACACAAGTTGAACCAGGATGGAGACAGACCTGTAATTCATGAATTTCCTTTGTCATACCAAGTATATTATAGACCCATTTTACTAAGGAAGTGGGGAATATCGTTAGGTTGACTCACTTCCTGTTGTTTCACTTTAACTATATGATCTCATACTTAAATTACACAAAATCATTAAACTGCATGCTGTTTTCTGTTTGCATTCATGTTAGGATTTACAGTAATTACATGCTTGACTTACTAGCATCCTCTCCTATAATTTACAGACAGTCCCTCGAAACTACCGAATCCACTGCCACTGTTTCACTGGGAACTACCAGTCTGCCAAGAAGTGGATGAACTTGTTCCCAAATCTCTACATTGGCCTGACCCCACTGGTGACCTATCGCACAGCCACACCTTCTCATGAGGTCGCCAGGTTCATACCGCTGGATCGACTCTTACTGGAGACTGATGCTCCGTATTTTATACCAAGGAAGGTAGGTTTATACTGCTTGATATAACTGATTCTCAATACTATATACCATGGTTGGTTTCATACTGGTGGGTAAACTTACTGGAGACTGGTGCTCCATACTTTATACTAAGGAAGGTAGGTTTATAAACTGCTGGATATTATTGGAACTGGATACCAAAGAAAAGAAATTCAACCCTCTTGGTAAGTTGTGACTGATTATACAGTGAAGATGACCCCCTACCCCCAGAAGATGTCCAAAAAGTAGTCTTTTATTTTAACACAAGAGGTCTCTTAGTACAGGTGGTCTCTTTACACTTAACACAAGTGGTATTTTAAAGAAGGTGGTTGTATGAGTAGGTTTGACTTCGATACATACAAAGAGAAAAAGAAAGAGGAAAAGATGTCTTTTTTAGGTCACCTGAGCTTTGCTCAAGTGACCTATTCCAATCACTTCCCATCCGTCGTCGTCCGTCGTGCGTAAACTTTTTACATTATCAACTTCTTCTCAAGAACCAGTGGATGGAATTTTTTCAAACTTGATCAGAATCGTCCTTGGTAGATGAGGCTACCAAATTGTAAAATTGGGATTCCTACCCCAACCCTAGGGGCCAGGGCGGGGTCCTAAAGGGAAAATTAACCAATATTTCAAAAATCTTCTTCTCCAGACTCAGAGGTATTACAGTCATTTTCTCTGCATGGATGGAAAGATCATCAGGGGCTTTATTTAAATTGTAAATTTCAGGACCCCCGAGCTATCCGTTCTCCCTTGGGGAGGGGGTAAAGTTTACTATAGTTTATATAGGGAAACAACACTTTTGGGTATATTTTGACAATTTTCTGTTGGAAATTATTTTTACCTGGTGAGAATTATCCTTGGAGGAAGAAGATGGTTTTAAATTGTAAAATTGGGATTCCTACCCAAACCCTAGGGGCCAGGGCGGGGCCCAAAAGGGAAAATTAACCAATATTTCAAAAATCTTCTTCTCCAGACTCAGAGGTATTACAGTCATTTTCTCTGCATGGATGGAAAGATCATCAGGGGCTTTATTTAAATAAGTTTACTATAGTTTATTTAGGGAAACAAAACTTTTGGGTATATTTTGCCCGAAGGGCAAGTGAGCTTATGCCGTGGTGCAGCGTCCGTCTTCCATCATCCGTCTGTCCGGCGTCAACTTTTTCCTTTAAACAACTTCTTCTCAATAACCAAAAGGCCAAGGGTACTGATATTAGGCCTGTAGCATGCTGGGATTAAGGGCTACCAAGTTTGTTAAAATGAATGACCTTGACCAATTTTCAAGGTCACAGGGGTCAAATGTTTTGAAATCTTCGAACAACTTCTCAATAACCAAAAGGCCCAGGGTACTGAAATTAGGCCTGTAGCATGCTGGGATGAAGGACTACCAAGTTTGTTCAAATGAATTACCTTGATCCACTTTCAACCTTTAAGAATCTCCATGAAAAAATAACCCTGCCCCATCCCCAGGCGCTAGAGGGGTGGGGCCTCAATGGAGATTATAGTTTAAAAGTTCTTACATTTGGTATTGTATTTCACTTTGTTTCCATGTTGTTTTCCACATTTTGTACATCTCAACAATGAAATTGAGCTACAAGTACTTATAATATAACTCAGGTGACCTCTAAGGCCCTTGGGCCCCTTGTTTTTCAAAAACATTATGTTTGTCTGTGAAATATCAGTCTAAGATGATTTGATTTCGGGTTTTGTGATATCAATGTTTTCCTATTGGGAGATTCTTAAAGGCAAGATCTTTTATAATAACGTCTTTTCAATCTTATTGCAGTTCCCTAAAGAGGAAGTGCACTTTTCACACCCAGGAATGGCTATCACTGTAGCTGAACATGTGGCCTTTCTGAAGAGATGCTCTGTCACAGAGGTGTTACATGCATGTCGTCAGAACACACGTACCATGTATGGCATATGAGTCATCGCTAGAGGACATGCACTCTGTGCCATGTACATTGTTACAATCCCTGTGTATGGTGTGCTAACACATGGACTACGATAACATGTTTGAATCAGAAGTTCATTAGAGTTGTGCAAAAGGAAGACGACAATAAGATTAGAATTCAATGATAAGTGGAGTCTTCCAGAGGCTGTGAAATTGTTTTTGTAAAATGTTTTCTCTGATATGCAAATCTTAGCTAAGCCCCATTAGATGAATGAACACTAAATGTCTTTGATATTTTGTACTTTAGTGTATGCATATTGTGCCACATTTTGGTGATTTTTCTTGCTGTTTACCGTACAATGCAAGTTCAGACATGACTAGTATACATTGGGCTCATCTATTGTTAAAATATTCATTGTTAAGTACAAACAAAATGCAGGGGTGATTTAGTGGATTCCAGTCAAACAAATTGGTATTATTAGTTTACGAATCATTCTTAAAGTATTTCAGAAATGTTCCAAGTCAAAAGGTTAAATGATTTGTTTTTGTCATTATAATTCAAGATACAAACTTAGGTTCAAAGCTTGTTTTTTAGGAAATTGATATTGGTGAAAAAAATGTAGCAGAAAACATGTGAACTGTTGAAGACACTTAATAGACTGTACATGTATATAAATCTATAACTTATATATAAAGCTTGGAGGCTAGGAACTTTAACAAAAATCTATAGGTTGTTCTGTCAAAAAAGAGGACCAATAAAAAAACATATATTTGAGTGATAATGTATTACCAACATCATATTAGACCCAAGTATTGTTGATTAAAACTATATTTGAAAATTTACCAATTTGACTAATTCATGAAGTGATTTAATTCAGTTTACTTTGTTAAGTAGATGATTATAGCCTTATAAATCTTAACACAATTCTGCAAGGTAGCATATTTTCTGAAGACTAAAACTGTTAGTGGTATAGAATAACACGTCTCCTAGAAAGTGAAATATTTCTTAAGTCATAGTCCTGATCAAGATGTTTTTGTTAGTCAGTTACATGTAATTTGTTTACATAGTGTAGTGGTTTTAGTGCTGTAGCTATTGTGTATTACAATAGAGGTTTTCTCATGGAGAGACCAAGCCTTTCAGAGAAGGTTGGCAGGTGCCAGTCCAAGTTACATATGGATGTGCATTTCATAAAAAAGACAGAAAGAGAAGATAGGTAGTTGATACATTTTGTTTATAAGATTGATTTGTTCAATCCAAGTCATCGTATAAAGTAGACCCTCTTTTGTAGCCTTGTTGAGTTACTGGTACATTCCAGTACCTGTATCTGTTTATAGATCCTGGTATATGAGATTTCGACAATCATAGGTATCCATTACAGCACCTCGAGAAGTTTGTTAAACTTACAATGAACCTTGTAGTGTGACCTCAGATTGACCGTCCACTATTTATCTCGTAATGTGACCTCAGATTGACCATCCACTGTTTACCTTGTAGTGTGACCTCAGATTGACCGTCCACTATTTACCTTGTAGTGTGACCTCAGATTGACCTTCCACAAATTACCTTGTTTGAGCTCAGATTGACTGTCCACTTTTTACCTTGTCATGTGACCTCATATTGACCGTCCACTATTCACCTTGTAGTGTGACCTCAGATTGACCATCCACTATTCACCTTGTAGTGTGACCTCAGATTGACCTTCCACTATTTACCTTGTAGTGTGACCTCAGATTGACCGTCCGCTATTTACCTTGTCATGTGACCTCAGATTGACCGTCCACTATTCACCTTTTAATTCTAATATTACCTCAAAATGGCTGCTACTTTTCACTATGCAAATTGACTTTAATTGACAATCAACTATTTACCTTGTCATGTGACCTCAGATTGACCGTCCACTATTTATTTACCTGGTAATGTGACCGCAGATTGACCATCTGCTATTTACCTTATAATGTGACCTCAGATTCACTGTCCACTATTTACCTCGTAATGTGACCTCAGATTGACCGTCCACTATTCACCTTGTAATGTGTTTACCTTGTAGTGTGACCCCAGATTGAGGTCAGTTTACAACTTTGAATTTATCTCCCTTTGAAAAGTGACCTCAGATTGATTAATGCAGTTCACCTCGCTACACCTACAATGCCTCTAGAATGACTGTCCTTTGATCACTTTGTCATGTGACATGTGACATGAACATTGCTTTTAGGTCTCTAGCAAAGGTTCAATTCCTATGTTATATAGCTTCTCAAATTTTTGAAGGTATTTTTTTTTTTTATATATTTGAGTTTTGTGAAAACGGTTAGGAAACCCTGTATTTTGATGTGTATTCTACAAGAGTCTTCAGCAACACAATTTGGTTTGTGTGATGGATTTATGAATTACTACTATTTTCATCGCACTATAATGATAGAAAAGTCATGTTGATTATTTGACCATTTTCTTCTGGGTAACTAATTACTTTTTGGTTGAATTTATTATTTGTTTTCATCCACTTAAGAACAACTTCATCAAATCCTTTTTTATTGTAAGAGAAAATGAAATTTATACAGTAAAGATCTGTAATAACATTTCTATAAAATTCAATTCTATTACAAAGTGTTAAAAAAACTTCTGTCAAACTTATATATTTAGTTTTAGTTGATGTAGTCACATTCCACAAAGTCCGAAAGTTAAGTGACCTGTCGGGCACTTTCTCTATTGTTTTAAGTGAGATTTAGTGCTAACCAACTGCATAAATTTTAACAGTTTTTGTTAAATAATAAAAACGTTCACACATTGTTTTGTCTTTGTTTCTGGTGTTTATATTGGCAGTGCTTCCATGGCATCCGGCTCAGACCATTGATATTGATATTTAGCCATTGGGTAATAACATGGAAATGTTGGGATCCTTTCCTATAACCATATGCAAATATACCAATTTAAGCTAAATTTCCAATGGAGAATCCTTTGGAAAGGACGACTTCTTAAGAACTGTAGGGCCTTGGGTTTGGTTTGGTTTGTTTGTGTTTTATGTCCTATTAACAGCTATGGTCATTTACAGACATGCCAGGTTATCCTGGTGGAGTTCCCGGAGAAAAAACACTGATGTACAGCCAGTACCTAGCGACTGCCCAACGTAGGCCTCGAACCCCAGACCCATTGGTGGATGGCTAGGGGAAGCAGAATAGGGCCATGATATAAGCCAGTAGGTACCCGGGATAGAGTGATTATAAAGTTTCCTCAAATAAATCACCTTGACCTACTTTCAAGGTCATAGGGGTTAAATATGTAAAAAAAACTTTAAACAACTTCTTCTGAATAACCAGGAGGTGCAGAATATCGATACTTTGACAGTAGGTACCAGACATAAAAGGGCTATACATTTTTCCCAAATAAATGACCTTGACCTTCTTTAAAAATCATAAGGGTCTTCTGAATAACCAGGAGGCCCATAGTAATGATACCGGGAATGAAGTACTATAAAGTTTCCGAAAATAAATTACCTTGACCGACTTGCAACGTCATAGGACTCTCAATTGTTAAAACCTTTAAACAACATTTTCTGAATAATCAAGAGCCTAGAACACTGATATTTTGTGAGTAGGTACCTCGGACAGAGTGCTATAAAAAAAATCAAATAAATGATTTTAACCTACTTTTGAGGTCACATGGGCCAATCAAATAAATGACCTTGACCTACTTTCGAGGTCACATGGGCCAAATATGTAAAAACCTTTAAACAACTTCTGATTAACCAGGAGGCCCAGAGTAATGATACTTGGCCAGTAGGTACCTGGCATAAAGCGCAATAACTTTTTTCTCAAATAAATTACCTTGACCTTCTTTAAAATAATCAAAAGGATCAAATGTGTTTAAAACCTTTAAGCATTTTCTTCTGAATACCCAGGAGGCTCATAGTAATCATACTTTGCCAATAGGTACCTGGCATGAAGTGCTATATATTTTTTTTTAATAAATGACCTTGACCTATTTTCGAGGTCACATGGGTCAAATATGTAAAAACCTTTAAACAACTTCTTCTAAATAACCCAGATCCTAGAGCACTGGTATTTAGATAGCAGGTACCTTGGACAGAGTTCTATAAAGTTTCCTCAAGTAAATGACCTTGGCCTACTTTAAAAATCACAAGGGTCAAATGTCTTTTAAACCTTAAAACATATTCTTCAGAATAACCAGGAGACCCATAGTTCTGATACTTGGCCAGTAGGTACCTTGGACAGAGTGATATAAAGTTTCTTCAAATAAATGACCTTGACCTACATTCACAGTCACAGGGGTCAAATATGTAAATAACGTTTAAATAACTTCTCCCACGATACCAGGAGGCCCAGGGTGATGATATTTGACCAGTAGCATACTTTAAAGCTCACAAGGGTCAAATTGTTAAAAAAAACTTTAAAGAGTTTCTTTTGAAAAACCAAGAGGCCAAGAGCAATGATATTTGGTCAGTAGGTACCTCGGACAGAGTGATATAAAGATTTCATAAATAAATGACCTGGACCTACATTCACGGTCACGGGTCAAATATGTAAATATCTTTTAAACAACTTCTCCCGCAATACCAGGAGGCACTGGGTGATGATATTTGACCAGTAGCATACTGGGATAGAGTATGATAAAGTTCCATTTAGTCTGGAACATTTTTAAGCCAAGGAGACTCAATATATGGAAATATTTGCAAAAGTACTTTTATTGAGAGTATTTTCCCAGGATTGCTCAAATATCCAGGTGAGCGATACAGGCCCTCTCGGTATGTCCAAATTGTATGAAGTATCTTGTTAAATGAACGCAATAAACCAACCAGCACTACTGCTTGCATTGTCTTTGGTATACATGTAATATACACAATGGAGTTTAATTTAACATCCTGAATAGGAGAGGGGCGTGGCTTATCTGAACCTGATGAATGGAGACGGACCTGCCAGTAGTTCGGAATGTACATATTAATTACTGTTCCTTTCAAATCAAAACATCCCCAGGTTTGACATCGCTTTTCGTTCCTTGGTGCAAAAGGAAACTCTGACTTCTTTCGACATGTAATGGAAAAAAATAAGGGTTAATTAGGACCATGTATGCTTGACCTGATCCCCAGCAAATGAAGAGAATATGGTATAGTTCCTAAAATGGGAAGTAGAAATATGAAGGTTTTTGTTCAACTTATAGACGAAATACAGAAGTTGTTATTAACACCTAGAAGAGGGTATTCTACTA